TCTCGAGCTCTAAGTACTACACAAGTCACGCTAAGTCTTCAGAAGATTACTTGAAGAAAATATTCATACAAGAATAGATTCCTGAATTTATATTTGATCACATTTAATTTTACATAGTTTCTGTCAAAGAACAATTCAAAGGGAGGGGTGAAAACTTTACGAATAAATCGAGGAAATATTCGACACAAGTGTATAAGCAAGAGTTTAAATATTTTCTTTAGAAGAATATTTATTTGCATACATTTTTGTGAACAAGGACACTGTACTTAGTATAAGTTTTTAATCATAATTATCAATGTTGCAGGTGTGCAAATGATGATGCGGGACCCAGGGGCGTGTAACGGCGTCGCCTAGAACTCAAAATGGCGCCTGTACTCTGGCCTCTCATCTTCGCCATCTTCAGTGTCAAGTTTGCAGGTAAGGAATCGTCAAAATGCTATACTACTCTTTACTTATATAATTATTTAGCTGTCGATGCGCCTTTCATCGAATTAACATCAAATTTTTCTGTAGTCTCTTCCTGCTGCAGAGATCCAGGAATAGCTCCACTCTGTTAATGTTATTATCTGTTATTATTTTTACGTTACTGTCTTTTTGTATTATTTTTTGTTGCAATGCTGTTTTGTTCGATTGTTATATGTAATAGCTCTTGTTATTTCCAATGCAACTGTTATTTTTTCATTCTGCTCATGTGCTTAAAACACATATTATTTTGTAAATGGTGTATCCGTTGAAATGAATAAATAAATAAACATTGAAGAACTACGAGGGACACTAATATAAAATACATTTTCAATGCCATTAGGAGCTGTACCTTCAAGATAATTCCTTTTTGGTGTAATGTTTAACCATGTAAATTATTTCGGGACAGTGCCCCTTATACCACATTCTATTGGAGCAGCGCCTCCCGCATAGTTTCGGAGTAGTGTATTCGGGGTAGTGCCTTTTGAATCATTTTACATACCACTGACTTGTAATCTGACTTCATCTCAGGTGTCATAGAGATACGCTAGAACCACAGACAATATAATACTTTAATGTTTCCATTGTCTGTGCTAGAACGCTGTTCTGCCCTAATACATCGGGTACGTTCTAACGAGGTCTTGGGATATACACATGCTTAATAGTGTGCTCCTGTTATATATATCTATCTTATTTACTCCGGTTTACATAAAACCCGCATATAACGGACTATTACTAAACTCATAACTATATTATCAACAAAATCCAGTTACAATTTTGCGGCAGTAATACTCTTCTCTAGTACATCGCGTGTATAATATAATATGTATATATAATATATATAATATAAATATATAATATATATATAAATATATATAATATAAATATATAATATATATATAAATATAATTTATATAATATATGTATATATATTATATATAATATGTATATATCGCGTGTAGCAGTGATGTCTGAATTGCATAAAAAAATCACAAGTCGGCTTTGGTGGTGGATTTGTTTTGGATGAATAGAATCGTGGGCACGAGATATCTGTGACATATGTTTAGGTAGGCCAAGGTTCTTTACCTGCTCTTTACTTAAATAAAAACTACTTTTATAAGCTAATGTTCATTCCGTGATTTATTCCCTGCTTTAAGAGGTAATAATGAATAAAGAATAATAGAGAATAGTAATAAATGTGAGTTATTACGTTATAATTTTGTTTCTTTGTTTGTTATTGATTATTCGTAAACACGTGCTATTATCAATGAAAGAGTGTCATACATAAATGTGTTTGGACATTGTTATACACGATAATTAATTATGTACAAAATATAACTCTGTCGCTGACATTGACTGTCTGAATATGATTCCGTAATGCAGAGATTAACCACCACGTTTGGCTGTAATGGTTTCAGTTTCCCTGCGGTAGATAAGGCTTATCAATAAACATGCAGAGTTCAACTATTAACACTCTGCATTTATGCTTTTGACCCGTTTGTATGATTATTTCACCAATAGGTATAAATAACATTGATATACAGATAGTGCAACGTGGTTACTTGATGTATTCTACTTTATACATTTTGTATATTGATGTCGAATGTAATTGTAATAAATGAAATATAAGTAAAATTGGAAGACAGTTTAACAAACAGTTGTATATATTGTTAAATTATTTTAAATGTTTGAAAGCATAATAATACGTTTTATCTATGTAGAAAGTATTAAAATAAAACTACTACTATATTACACAGCTACACAGTAATTAATAAAAATGTGAAAATACATTTTTCTTAATTTACAGTCGCAGAGTAGGCTACTAATAAAAAAAAATAAAATATAAAAATAAATAAATAAATAAAAATATTTATACAATAATTCTATATGTGACAGGTATATAGTAGTTTTCCTAAATGTAAGAATGAAAAATTTTGTTAGTCACATAATATTTCTGAAAATATTAAAATAAAAAATCTGGACGTTATATTCGAAAATTTATTTATTGTTAAATATAGGCCTATACTTTATGCCGCAGTTGCATTGATAATAGAAACTAATCTAATCTGTCTTACAGTCTCACGTTTCCGACATTATTAATTTTAAAATGATTATTTACAGTTGAATGTATGGTTTAAAGTATTAAAATCGGAATTTTTTTTAAGTAAGGAAACCATTGAAAAATTAAAACTATATTAGTTATATTACAGTTGTATGGCAATTAAAAAAGTATATAATTTATACAAATATTATGACACAAGATTGCTACCTAAATTGACCTGACAGTATGTTGACCGAATTTATTAAACGTAAACAAGCTTGGCAGCTTGATAGTCCTATTAATTGAGACGCAATTTATTGATCATAAAAATAGAATTCCCTGTAGGTATTTCTGCGAATCATGCATTACTTATTTGCAAACACTTTACTGACATAGTGCTATAGATTGGCTTTCGTTGATAACAGGTCACAGTTTACACTTTTTATAGACTGATTAATATAAATTAAATGCATTTTCTGAAAACCTTTTAACGAATTTCCCTATAGGGAAGTAGCAAGTAGCTATTACCATAGGTGGCATGGTAAGACCTAGGCCTGGGACCGATTTACTTTTCCGTTTGGATGTCCCCAGAGGCCGAAAACACAATTAGTTCAAATTTGTATATATGTATATAATATACATACACCAGATAGTGTGTATACATATACGTACATGAACGCGAAACCTTGAGTATTTTTTTATGAAATTTGGTTTAATTGTGTAAAGCGTGATAAACTTGAATAGGTTTGCGAACCAGCTTGATCAGTCCATGGGAACGGGATATTACGGGTGTTTTTATGGGTAAATAATGGGTTTTCTCATTTTTGACCCTCAAAACACAAAATTTTCCAATTTCTCTCTACACACTTTTAAAGAGCTTAAACACAAATAAATTAGTTCATCAAAGTGTTTTGTTCGGTTACTGGTAATAGAGAAAGTCAGAAAATTGTAAATTTAAATTTCCTATGTTATTCTTATGGAGAATATTGTAATATTGTGTAGTTTGGTTGTTTATGGATTTATTTTGATCAAACTTGGCTAATTTATTTATTTTATACTAAGTTATTAATATTTAAAAAATAATACACTTTATTAGTTTCCTTGTAGCAGTAAACCTAGATACTCTTTAAGCCTAATGTTATTTAAATATATTTAATTGGAAATCAATTTAGATAAATGAAAATTCGATTGGTCGGCAGGTTTTCTGCGGTGGGAGTATTTTATTATAGTATTTATTTGCAATCCAAGATGTATACATTTCAGCTACAAAATAAATATTTTCCTATGATCGGGAATAACAAGAATAGGGTATCATGAAAGGATTTTTGTAGGCTTAATAAAGTTTTTAATCAACTGCAAATACCTGGAAATTACAAATACTGTGGTAAAAACCCCTTCATATTGAACGTATTCACAATAAAATCGTTTCAAGGTTGATACGAATCTTATTACTACGGCCAGCAACTGGATTGCTTCAATATGACTTGTAGGTACCACAAGATACATGGTTTTGCTTATACCTTAACGCTAAAACCTCCATCTACATAATCTTACAGTTTAGTGATTCTATGGTGGCAAACACTTGATGTACGGTATGTTATGTTTGACACAAGCTTGGATGTAAAAGTATAAAATATCATTATCCAACCTTACATCGTTATTCAACGAAGTAATAGTTTTAAATAAGTGTGGAGATCTAATAACAATTCCATGAGCAAGTACGTTCAACTGTACAATTATTATTTACAAATTGTTTTATATAACAGAAGCATTAAATAATACTGCGATCAATTCCCCACGCTTGATTAATATTTTGACCGAGGGTCTGTAAGTTCATAATCTATCTTACCACCAATAAGTGATCTCTATTTTGTTTATTTATCCAAAATGAGCACATTGTTTAAATATTCAGGAATGGTACAATAATTGTAATAACACATTTTGTCCCATGTAGCATCTAGTTCGAGAAAATGTTTATGTAAGATACGTAGCACGAATTTACAAATTAATTATAGTATTTACTTTTTTTCTATTCTATTTTTTCAGAGAACGGATTTCTACCTATAAAGCCATCATCTCCTCGTTGCACTAGGTTTTGTTGTATCATAGCTACGTTGGTGACCGAGGCAGTACCACTGCAGACCTTAGCCTACCCATAAAAGCGCGCGTAATAATTGTCCATAATGTTACCTTCGTTCGTTGTGTATTTATGTTCATGTTATAACTTATGTGAAACTGTTTATAGGCCTATTGTTGTCGTTGCAGGTGCAACAACATCAATACAGTTAAAATACAATTAAACCATGTTTTTGAGGAGCTAATCATCGCCTAAAGGTTTTAACCTTTACCTTTACGTTTTAACGCGTCCTCCGCAAAACCTAGTTTAGAAACATAATCAAACGAAATACTACAGTTATTTTCAACATAGATCTTTCGGCAGTCTTCAATCTCGTACAGTTTCTCACATTCTAAACATCTAGGATATCAAAACCACACATACGATAAAAAAGTTTAATACAAAATTGTTAAAATGATCACAGTCAATGTAAGGCCCAGCATGTTATTCCCTACCCCAGGAGAGGCCGAGGTGGAATTAGACTTGTCAACAGTAATGTTAGCTGCAGGTCCTATCTTTGCTGCGAAGCTCATCACATGAGGTATGACAGTTTGCTCGAAGACGCCTACCAGTAGGTGGGCCCAGGGACCTCTAGCATACACCGCCACGTCCTCCCCTCCATGCGTCTCGGACTCTAGGTAGTACGTGGTGGGGAACCTGTAATCTGCAGCTCCTGAAAACAATACGATAAGTGTGATGAAAAATTGGAAAATCTCATTTTTTTATAGGGGGTTGCAGTTAAATTTCGAGTTCTGTAATTGATGTCTGGGATTAAATTCACTGAATCCCAATTTTTTTTCGCTGTGTGTTGATGCAATGGTGAGTCAGAGCTTACCTTAACTAGTAGGTCTACTTATCCAAATGATAAACAATGTAGGTATCTAAGGCAAGGAGAAAATTTTGTTCAGTGAAAGGCTCACTCTATTAAAGCAGACCTTACATAATCAATATTATTGACAATATGTTTGACTCAATAATATTGTCAAACTAGACAAACTGAGCCGGATTTAGGATGCACCTTACACGGTCAATAACATTGTCAATATTTTATGTCAGTCCAGGTACTTATCCAGGTGGCTGAACAGCTTAGTACTAATGGACTCCAAGAAAGAAGCATGCCTTGCCTTTATTTTACATTTTGGGTAAAGTAGGGGTTGCTAAAACGTGAAGAATAACACTTGAGGTTGTTGAAAGAAATTTCGTTGAGTGCCCTGGAGACTGCCAAAATTACCAAAAAATAAATATAAGTCCCATAGTGATATAGGTAGTGTGAAGATAAGTACAATTGTATAGCCATATTTAGCTAAATGCTAAAATATAATTCAATTTAGTTACAATACTGTACAAGAAAACACAATTTAAGAAATTCAGTACATTTAAGAACAAAATACGTTACATGAAAAACAGTTTTAGTAGGCTAATATACACTAGATCATAAGTAGGGATCAAAGCTGTCACAGTTGTACAATATACAACTCAGTCAAATCTAGGCACCGCTACAAGAGACTCTTGTTGTCAAACGCAGATCACTTACCATTATGTATATTGCTTCCTCCACTCTCAGAGAGTATTGTGTTAATAGATCGTGATGAGAGAATGGATTTACCGTGAATTCAGACTCAGATTGATTTGTTATAGTGGAAGGTTTCGTTTTTCTCCGAAAAATTTGTTTTGAATACTTTGCTGTAAAGTATTATCTCATTTCGCAGTCTAAAGTGGAATCATGTGATTTCTTTTGCTGGTTTTAAATTTCAGAAGGGACCCTTCTTTCAGTATACTATGCAGAAACAAAATAAAATGTATTATAATTGATCAAATCATAAATTGAAACAAAAGTTCATTTCACTATAAAAAGTATATATAAAATCAATATGCTCACTAGTTTGATTGTTTACTGGATTATCTCCATCAGCTTTTTAATCATATTTTTTCTAATCGATAATAGACTGTTCAACCATTTGTTTTTTGGTCCAAACAGGCTTAAATGTAAAAAAAAAATGGATAAATACATTTTTTTCAACTGCATAGCATTATAAATAACCCCATAATAGTGCTTTAATAGAAATAACCCAGACTAGTCCAATAACAATTTGGCTACTCTCAATTCTCTCCTAATGTTTGCAAGGTGTTAAATGTTTTACCTACGACCGTTTTATAAATTAGCCGTTTCAGTTCAGTTTTTATAAATGAAAAGTTTCACATACCAGCATTGTTTACTTTCATAACAGCATAGTTTTACCATAGACTAACCAAGGGAGTATGTTTTATCTATGGTTTTACTCATAACAACACCAACCAAAGAGGTTTAAGGATTGAGGGAGAAGAAGTAAAATTGTGATGATTCGAACATCACCTATCAGCTTTTCAGGCCAATTTAATTGTTAGAGTGGTGCAATTAATGTTTAATTCACGTTTCGTTTCATCACTGTCAGTGGCAATGAGAGGTTATAAACGCAAACATGATCTCTCTTAAAAGTCACGAGTAGTAGTTTTTAGTAATTAAAATACTGTCATAGGTAAAGTAGTGTACGCAACTCGCGTAAATAGTGTTAACGACACTCGTAGAAGTTTTTAAGGCACTCGCCAAAGCTTAAATTTTATGCTCGTGTCGATAACACTATCTTTACGCAATCGTTGAGTAGACTACTATAATAATTGTTTTTCACCTTCTGAGTTACTTGCAACTTCAAATTAGGTTCGACATAGGAAACTTTGCTTTTCATTACATAACCGATCATAAACCTACCTCTATCGTCATTCACGATGTTGTGTCTGCTTCCGTTCTTCTCAAAGCCATTACGGTTAGGTCCGTTTGCGTATGACAGGGTGGAGTATGTCATGTTGTCATCTGTCGCCTGGAGGGTGGTGATGATGTCACTGCCTCTGGATGGATACCCACTCAATGTCATGGTGTGAGCGTGGTCCGCCGTTACTACTATAAGAGTGTCATCTTCACTCGTCAGATGCAAAGCTACCTGTAAACGAGCGGACGTGGTTTGTTTCATCTTTTAGGAAAGTTTTAGTAGAATACTTCTTTATTTAATTTCAATGGATAAACTCGTATTAGAGCATATGATCGTAAATCTCCTAATTCTTCATCTTTATTCACCATTTGCAATAACGAATAAAGCTGGATGGGTTTAAATTGGTTTAAACATTTTTAATCAAACCTTTTACGAAACCTCTATGTGTTCTAAGTTTGTTTTAAAGAAAGAAATTTATAATAGCTGTCATATATATCATATATGTCATATATACTAATCCCTTTACAATCCTTCGGCGTACTGTTACAGATGGCTGTTACTTATAAAACTAGTGTGACTTTTACCTTGTGAAACGTGAGAATATGTTTCATTCTAGACCCAGTTTTCATCTCATGTGACCATGATGGTAAAAAAAACAAAACTACGAATGAATCTTAACAATCAAAATGTAGGTGGATTAGAATTTCAACCTGTTCATTTATAAATTAACATAACCTTTGCTCTAGAATGAACGTGGTTTTGGTTATAAGTCTATAGGATATCTTGACAACGTTGTAGACTGAGAAGTGTGGTGTTGTATAGTATGATAAAATGACAAATGTGTTCGGATTAAGAGGGATCTGTTTAGTTCAAAACTCTGAGACAAATTGAATGATATATTGTAGAAAAAAAAACCATTTGTAGGGTAAATTCCTATATCTTGGTTGCTACGACCAAAGGTAAATCTCTTTTTTGAACAAGGCAGGTACTAATCAGGTATCTAATCGTTTTAGTTGTTATTAACACACTCTTAGGAGAGCACAAAGGTAGAATTTCAACTCACTTCGATAGCCCTATGAAACTCCACGACCTCATCCAGAGCTAGGTGAGCCTTATTGTCATGATGGCCGTGGTCAATCCTTCCTCCCTCTATGAACAAGAAGTAACCATTTTCCTCCTTCTGCATCATCTTGATAGCCATCGTTGTCATTTCCCACAGGGTCGGCTGATGAGAGGCGTTCGCTTCCAAGTGGTAGTCCATGTGGTTGTGGTGGAAGAGACCTTTGCGAAGAAAATAGTAATTTTGAGACAATATAAAGAGGTGTGAGGTTTTTCAATGGTTAAATACTCGTTACACTTTTACTTTTGGTCTAATTAATTGTTTAGTAACGAAACAAATTTAATTAAGGAAAGCTTTCTACTTTAGAGTGTAATTACTGGTTGATTATTTACGAATGTGTCTATTAGATTTGATAAGTAGACCTCTTTATTCAATAACCAAATCATTTGTAAAGTGGATTTAATGCTGAGTAAATATTTTAAAGTAAATGAAACATTAGAAAAATTCTGTTTTCGCAAATAGCCTATATTAAAACCTTTCAAATATGTTTGTATCAGCCTGTTAAATTGTAGATCAAACTTTTAATATGATTTGAGGGTATCCATAAAAAATAGGAATAAAATTAGCTTAATCACTTTTTCTTTTTGCTAGCTATATACCTGATAACATTAGTTGTATACGCCATTTTATAAACTTTAACTTCTTGTAACCAAATTACGGACCACAGATCTGTAAGGTGATCGGCCGTTACAGTATAAAATGGAAAAGAGTAGTAACTTCTGAGACAGTTTGTGAGTCCGAACCGCCAATGTCTGAACATAGACTCATTTTTGTCATACCCTGCTACTTGTAGTGTTATCTTGTTCTGTAAACGATCATTTTTCATTGTTTACTATTTAATAAATATTGAAGTTCACGCCAGAACACTTAATGTATTTAGCATCCAACTAACTAGTATAACCTCCTCACCTAGGAGATGGTCAGTCTTGTCCACATTGACTGCCAGAAGCTGGTCTCTGTTGGTGACGTATGTAGCGTTATCCTTAGAGTCCTTAGAGTCCTTCCACGCTTGTATGAGGTCCTTACCGTCCCCTCTGAGTCCCTTGTTGCCGTAACCATCGTCCTGGTCCATCAGAAGGAACGTCTCCCTGCCACCTCCCAGGATAACCTTGTAAAAGCCATTATAAATTAAATGAAATGTCGTTATTTGTTTTTAACACGGAAAACATGAATTGCAATCGTCGATGTTAATAAGTAACTGATCATACAAAAACTAAAATCTGCTTTAATAATAAATTCTTTAAAATTATAAATAGTGATTGAACCCCTCTCCATCAGGTCACAGCTGCCAAAAAGTAGCCTATTTAAAATATATTTTCATAAAATGTTTAGTCTCTTGTATACAATATGACTGTGGTTAAACATTCAACTAAAGGAACCACCGTTATATTACAATTCATATGCAGCCATTATAAAGAAAGTTTTGCAATACATGAAGACAACAACCAATCCAACTCCGTGACAAAATTTACCAAATGATTCGTATTAAGAAGTATCTTGTCATACAATGTATATTCAACTTGATATACAACCCATGCTTTAGTTACCTTGAAGTTCTTTCCTGGTGCGTTTTCCACCAATTGTCTTGTAATATCCTGTATCCCCTGGGCATCAGGAGCTTCTTTGAGAATGTCTTGATCGGTCTGCCAATACCTAAAAAGAATCATTTTTTAACTACCATTATGTTTTGAATAGTTATCAACATGATTGCATATTTAAGTTTTTAAATTGAAAAGATTTTGTTTGCTTTAAGAATTTTTCAACAGAGCTCTAGCTGAAGAATGAAAACTTAGTTCGAACCATTTTTTACGTTTAATGTGAAGGGTTTGATTTGAGTAGACCTGGCCAAACTATTGACGGTTCCAATATTGCTTAGTCAAAATATTATCAAAAATTAAGTCACATGCTTTGTTGATGAAATAATACAGATTGAAACTGTAGTACTGTGAGTTAATTATGTAAAGTAATAAGACATTTTCGTAAGAAAAGTTATATTTGAAACACCAAGTAACTATGTTGTTATGTCAAACGTAAACAAACAAAAATGTAAACAAAGTATTGAAAACACATTTAAATTGTATCAGCTGATTCAGTACACTACATCGTCCCCCCTTCTTCTAAGAGTTAAGCCAGACGAAGTTGATCTGCGTGGCATCGTCTATTTAGTCCATTTGTATTTACTACATATGAGTAAGGACCATTCACTTTCACAATCGTTCCTTTCTTGAAACCAGCTCCAGATTTGTCTAGTACCCATACATTGTCGTCCTCTTTAAAAACTTTTTCTTTTGATCCAGGTTTTTGTAGCCGCTGTTGAACCAACTCTTCGTCGTTTTTATGCTCAACGTCAGGAAACAACATGTCTAATTTGGAGCGTAATTCGCGACCAAACATCATAAATGCTGGAGTTTTTCCAGTAGATCTTCTCAGTGACGTTCTGTAAGCAAATAAAAAGCTGTTGAGTTTTTCTTGGAAAGTCCCAGCATTTCCTTTTGAAGCATTCATGCGTTCTTTGAATGTACGAACACATCGTTCCGCTAAACCATTGCTTTTTGGGTGATAGGGGGTGATTCGAGCATGTTTAATGTTTAGGCTCTTACAAAAGGTTTGAAACTCGTAGGATGTTAGCTGTGGTCCATTATCGCTTACAATTACCCTTGGATAGCCAAATCTTGAAAATAACTCTTCTAAAGCTTTGATCGTTGACTTTGTTGAAGTTGACGACATCGGGAATACTTCAAGCCATTTTGACCGAGCATCTACTACAATCAACCACATTTTCCCCATGAAGGGTCCGGCAAAATCGATGTGGATCCGTGACCAAACTTCTCCAGGAACAGGCCATGAGAATAACGGCATTTCAGGATCTTTGCTTCTGTTTTCTTGACATCCATTGCAATGTCTAGTGTGTTCTTCCAAGTCCTTGTCCAGTTTAGGCCACCAGACTTGAAAACGTGCCTTCCCTTTCATAGCTACAATACCTGGATGTCCCTCATGTAGTATTTCCATCACTCTTGATCTAAGTTTCGCAGGTATGACCAATCTCCCAAACCAAAGTAGAATTCCATTCTCAAAGGAAAGTTCTTCACGTTTGCTGTAGTACGGTTGTAGGTTAGTGTCTTCATTATTTTCCAAAGGCCAACAACCCCTTTTTAAATAGTTTACTACTTTTGAAAGTATTGGATCAGTTTTTGTCGCTTCTTGCAAACACTTTGTCGATATTGGTAGATCCTGTGAACGCAAATGGAAAAGGTGTGCTTTGTTACTGCCACCCTGGTCTTCCTCTGTAGATTTTATCGTATTTTGCAAGGGAAATCTTGATAATAGATCGGCTGTTTTGTTATCTTTGCCCTGTTGATAGTTGATCGAGTAGTCATAGGCACTCAGTGTTAATGCCCATCTAGCGATTCGATTTGAAACTACCTTCGGAATTGAATCATGTTCACCGAAGACTTTAACCAATGCTTTATGGTCCGTTCGAACTTCGAAATGTCTACCATAAAGGTACTGTTCAAAACGAGTTACTCCAAAAACCAACCCTAACGCCTCCTTTTCTATCACGCTGTATCGGCACTCAGCATGATCAAGGCGCCTTGACGCAAAAGCTAAAGGTTTTTCAGTCCCATCAGGATACTTTTGGAAAAGAGCAGCTCCAACACCAATATCACTCGCATCAGTTGCGAGGATGAGAGGTAGGGATTCGTCATAGTGAGCCAACGTGTCTGTTGTAGTAAGAAGATGCCTCAATTTTGCTGCTACCTGTTCATGGTTTTCGTTCCAATGCCATTTCACGCCTTTCTTTAGCAGTTTGTGTAATGGAACACACAAGGACTGTAAATGGGGAATAAATTTACTGTAGTAATTGATCGACCCAAGAAATGATCTTAACTCTTTCACATTTTTCGGTGATTGCATGTTTTTCACTGCTTCCAGATGTTCTGTCGTTGGATGTATACCAGCTCTATCAATTCTGTGACCCAAATAGTTAACGGAATCTTGAAACCATTTACATTTTGATGTCTGGACACGAATTCCAGATTCTTGAAAACGTCTTAACACTTCTTTGACACGTTCGATATGTTCCTCTCTCGTTGGGGCTGTGACTATGACGTCGTCAAGGAGACAAGCGACTCCATGTAAGCCTGCCAGTACTTGATCCATCTTGCACTGAAAAACCCCGGTGGCAATTTTGATTCCGAAGGGTAAGCGTTTGTACTTGAAAAATCCTTTGTGAGTAGAAATAATCAGGTACTGTTGTGCCGATGGTTCGACCTCCACCTGCAGATATGCATCTTTGAGATCTATGACGGAGAATTCCTGGCCACCTGTAAGTTTTGAGGTGATCTCTTCGAATGTAGGCATAGGATATTTATCGGGGAGCATATGTTTGTTTATAGTATTTTTGAAATCCGCGCATATGCGGATAGCTCCAGACGGTTTTACCACTATTACTATGGGCGAAGCCCAAATGATAGGTTCATTCTTGGCATCGACTGGTTCTAAAACTCCACTGTCTACTAATCGTTGAATTTCATTTTCCACAGGTTCCCGTAAAGCAAAAGGAACTGGCCGTGGTTTTGAAACTACAGGAGCTGCATTTGAAGCCATGTGAAAAGATACCTTGTGATTTTTAATCGTACCTAAAGAGGGACTGAAAACTTCTGGAAAACCGTTAACAATGTCATTAACAATCTGTTCACTTACTTGTTCTGTTTGCTGTTTGGACAATGTACATATTTGAGCCCCAGGTGGCAGTGGTAAGTTAAAATCAAGAACCCAGTCTAGGCCGAACAAAGGTATATCGTTTTTCTTAACAACAATTACCGGTAACTTACGTTTGGAACCAAAAGCTTCAACTGAAACATACGTTTTACCCATAGTTTCAATTAGAACTCCTGTGTATGCATTAAGATTTTCTGTGGGAAATAGTTTAGGAGCTCCTAGATCTCGCCATATGTTTCTGCTAATGATACTGAACGCTGCACCTGGGTCATACAACATTGAAATTGTATGATTGTTTAACTTGACTGAAAGCATTACTTTCGACCCTTTATTAATCGCTTGGATTTGATCTGTATCAGAAAAAGATTTAACACTAGAGTTACAAGACGAGTTTTTTGCCTCTAACATGTTAAGTCGCTTACCTTTGATAATGACTGCATTACCCACTTTAAGACAAGTGCGTGCAAAATGATTCAGTTCTCCACAGGCGTTGCAAGTGGCATCGACAGCGGGACAGCTCGTTCCTTGTGTATGTTTCTTGTAACCACACCGAATGCAGTCAGTTCTCTTGTTAAGATGTAAGATGTTTTGTTTCGAAGTGTTTCCTTTTGTTTCTTGTTTCAACGGAATCGTTTCGAAAGCATTCTTCTTGTTCCTGTTGCTTATTCTGTTGACTGAACGTGTATTACGGAATTGTGACTGTTGATTGTCAACATTTTCCAATAAAGTAGCGGTGTTTGTGACTTGTTCAAATGTAGTATCTGTCGTAGCATGTAAGCGCAAAAGTTCAAGTTGCCAGCGATCATTGTTGATGCCCAGAACAAACTGATCTCTCAGCCGTTCGTCTAAGTTGTCACTAAAGTCACAGAGACCTGCAATTTCGCGCAAAGCAAATTCGAAATGACTAACAGATTCACCTTCTTGTCTGAAACGGCGACTAAAGATAACCCGCTGTGATAGTGGTGCGGATTTTTGTGTGTAGTATTTCTTAAGTATATCAATAACTCCTGTAAAGTGAAGATTACTGACGGGATCAGGTCGTGCGTGGTCAAATACTAGCTTGAAGGGTTGAGGTCCAAGGTTCCCTAGCAACAAGTCTCGTTTTGTATCCTCATTCTTGATTCCTCTGTTTCGTAATGCAATCTTGAAACGTTCGAGCCAGTAAGTCCATTCTTCAGAATGACCATCAAAAGCATCTATACGTAAATCGTCGGTCCGTTTAGTAGACTGCGCCATTTGTAGTACTGTGAGTTAATTATGTAAAGTAATAAGACATTTTCGTAAGAAAAGTTATATTTGAAACACCAAGTAACTATGTTGTTATGTCAAACGTAAACAAACAAAAATGTAAACAAAGTATTGAAAACACATTTAAATTGTATCAGCTGATTCAGTACACTACAGAAACTAAATGTTTTGATATTTTTATAATTCGTAATCACTTATGTTTACATCAAGTCGTAAGTTAATTTTGTGGTATCTATCTATATATTAATAGGCAAGCATGTTTCTTTAAAACCTTTTTTCTCAGCTCGTGTGCATCGCAGGGAAAATCTACGCATACTGTTGGAAAGATATTTTCCTGTAGATGTGCAGAATGCCTTTAAAAATTAAAATAGGCTAACAAATAAGCACAAAAAATGAATTTGAAAACTTCAAAAAATTAACATGGAACATATGGGTTGCCATGGTGGTGACGAAATAACAACAAAATGTAAACAGAAAAACAAAACAAAGGGAAGAAATTCCAATCACATGTTTTATTTACAGTGTGGGGAGAAAATAGAGAAGTCTGTACCTTAATTATTTTTGGTCGAGTTTCGACCACTCCTCCGAAACTACTGAACCAATTGACATGTTTTTGGTGTCATTGGAAAGAGCGTAACGTGAAGTTGTGCAGGAAACTTTCTTTTTAAGGAAATAATTAGATAGTGAGGCCCTGGGGCCCTTTAAAGTTTCGTATCTATCCATAAGATTAACATGGGAAACAAAATTTGTCATGGAACTCCAGCTGTTGTCAGAAATTAAGAGTGAAATATTTATTGATGGTATCCATGGTAACAAAGAACAAACCTACAAAATTTAAAAATGTAAACAAGCAGAACTAACTGTCAAATTAATTTTGATTTCACAATTCCACACAGCTGGTTCAAACATATTCAATACTGCATGATTATTAGAACAGGAACGGTAGGGATCATAAACATTAATCAAATATGTCACTCGCCCGTATCATTTTTGTCTATGCCCGAATGTAAACATTTAACATAGATTAAATGTAACTGTCAAACTATATGTTAATGTCATTAGTATGGAATTCTTTCAACATTATTTGTTGATCGAGTTTGTTTCAATATTTTTGAGCTGCTGTAATAATATTTTACAGGAAATAATTGTTAGATAAATTCATGGATATAAGTAATAAGATTCTTCAATCTTTGCTGTTATTAAAATTGTGTATCCGCAGCATACCTTCAGACTAAGCGAATTTCCATTTACCTGGCTTAATTAATACAAAGATTAATTATTCCCTTAAAATGGTCATTTTTTTCCTATTTCCATAACATTAAGTTAATTTTAATATGAGTACTTAGGTTTGCTGCTACAGGGAAGGTAGGTGTGGTTTTGTTGAAATGTTGATAGCTAAGTATGATTGTTATTGGTTTGCAAATCCTGTAATAGGTACTTTACAATTGCTCGAATTCGAGCAACATGTACACTAGTACTTATTTAATACGCAAGCAGATTTTTTGTGACAATTACTCCTCCGAAACTACTGAACCGATTGTCATGTTTTTGGTGTCATTGGAAAGAGCGTAACGTGAAGTTGTGCAGGAAACTTTCTTTTTAGGGAAATATGAGAGAGTGAGGCCCTGGAGCCCTTTAAAGTTTCGTATTTCTCCATAAGATTAACATTGGAAACAAAAATTGTTATGAAACTCCAGCTGTTGTCAGAAATCAAAAGTGAGAAGAATAGCATATGTTAATTGTAAACAGTCAATAAGTTTGTTAATTTAACAGTTTGCTACAAATATTTGCTGACTTGGTTGATATTCGTTTTAAAATAACGCCTGTAATACTTAGCAATTGCTCGAATTCGAGCAACAGGGACACTAGTCTATATATTAATAAGCAAGCATGTTTATTTAAAACCTTTTTTCTCAGCTCGTGTGCATCGTGGGGTAAATCTACGCATACCGTTAGATAGCTATTTTCCTGTAGGTGTGCAGAATCCCTTAATAAATTTAAATAAGCTCAAAGATAAGCACAAAAAATGAGTTTAAAAATTTGAAAAAATTAACATGGATCTTATGCGTTGCCATGCTGGTGACGAAATAACAACGAAATATAAACAGAAAATCAAAACAAATGGAAGAAACTCCAATCACATGTTTTATTTACAGTGTGGGGTGAAAATAGAGAAGTGAGTAAGTTTACATTACATATTTTTGGTCGAGTTTCGACCACTGGACGACCTCTCGTTAGAATTAAACTAAGTATGGTAGACCAATTTGTGGAAGGAGATTAACTTGAAACAGCTAATGAAATAACATTTGTCAAACCATTATAATTAGTAAGTATTTAATATTTAGTAGGCCTACATCAGTTGTCAATTACTAGTAGGAACCCATTCAAGATTCAAATATAACTATCGTACTGTTTTAAATATGTGTATTTATTTATTTTGCCCAGTGTCTACTGCATAGGTATAGGTTGCTTTGAGACAACAAACGTTAGATGGGAAAACAGTCCGAACTCCTCAAATGTTTGTCTACGACGGGTAATCGAACTCACCTCGCACCTAAGTCCAAAACGATAACCATAAGGTAACAACAAACCCAACAAAAGTGTTTTTGAATCTAGGTCTACATTGAAAACTTGTGGGACTACCTTGACGCGGTGTTGGCGTATGTTGCGGTGGGTGAAGCATCGGTCACCTTACACGTGGTGACTATCCCCACCCCCTTGCCAGCCTCTTGGGCCCACTGTGCGATTGACGAGGTGTGGTAGTCAGAGTTCGCCATGCCTCGCCAGTCCTGGTACCCCACGTCTGCCGTCACCCCGATGGTGTGAAGGTTGTTCTTGACGCCCGTGAGGTACGCGGTCCCGGAGCAGGCAGAGTCTGCGACTTGAGAGTTGACGCAGTATGTCTGCAAAACATAGTCATTGTGTTGAAAGGAAGCTGTGTGTAGTGTAGTAACGGAGTGAATAATGATCATAGTGATCCGGGTCAATCCTAAATCAAGTCCAAGTCAGAAGAGGTAGGTTTGAACCTGTACCAACATGTCATGGTCACCATCATCATCATTGGGCATTAGGTGGACATAGATAAATAGTAAGTCACCAAGCTAGGTACGTTCATTTTATGATCAACCTGCATTCATAATACAGACTAAGGTGTGCGTCACTACCTTAAACAATTGTATTCATTGTATCAGTTTGACTTGGAAAGCTGGTAACGAGGTTAAGAATGTAGGATTTTTTTGTTATTGGAAAGGAACATTTTTTGTTATGTTCGTCAAAAATCCTATAAAACAAAATAATTAAATTATCGTCTGTTCAATAATTTAGTACGTCTATCAATAGGCTATCATTATAAGTTTGTTCATATTAATTAATTTTTATCTTAAACAATCTACAATATAACAATATACAGTTATAGAAATTCCCATGCCTTCTTTCAAGTACAGCAAACAAGATTCCTCCCATTTTTTGTATACCAATATGGGACAGCTTTAGTTCACAAATAGTACAATAATACTTCCGTGTACCTTTGAGAGTCCTGTGTAAGGGAATGTATCGAATATAAGCTCCTGCTCTTCCCCAGACTTGTTCGCCAACTGGCCGAAGTAGATCCTCGCAGCAGTGACGGTGGTAGGGGACATTCCATCCCCTAGGAACAGGATCAAGTTTTTCGCTACCCCCTCTCTAGGCTGCGTCTTAAACCGGCCCTTCAGCGTGGCTGAGCTCTTGTCATACCAGAACTTGACGGCTGGAAGAGAAAGTGTGAAGAGTATACTTGAGCAGTTTCGACGGGGTGACTAGATAAACTGGTATTATGAAAGCACCAGGGGCACAGAACTAATTTAGTAAAAATGGAAATTAGCAGTGATGTAAACACACTCTTGGGATACTTAGTATAGTTACACAAATTGAACTTATCCTAAATAATATGAAGTGTGCTGGTAAATGGATAGAGCGAGGCTTCTAATTTCACAATCATTAAACAATTTTATTGATTTGATAATGCAGAATGCAGCAACCCTGGGGTGGAACAACTCCGTATGAAGCTCCATGAGAACTAGTCCCGCTCCCTTCGGGGCGTAATATAAGGAATACAAACGCAATACAAAGTAATTATGAGTAAAACGTAGTTTCTTGGAAGTAATCAGTACCGATATACCGATAAGTGTTTGTCTCAACATTATATAGCATCACTAAAAGGTACAGCTGTCTTAAGCACACAATATATCTAGTAAGATCAAGACTAAAATATTAACATCAAAAGATATGCTGGAGGTAATAATAAATTGAAATTGTCTTCAAACTATTCATAAGGAAGACATATGTATGTACGAGAATGTTCAATCCACGAGTCCTACAGATATGTTTGATTCAATTCAATTGTTAGCTAAAAAGAGTCAGATTGCTGTGTGGCAAAACAAAATGTAAAATGTCAAATAACTGCACTGACCTTCGAATGTACTAAATTTATACGTTTGTATTTCGAAACCCTCTTCCTCTAAACGTCACAGTTAGGATAATATCACTTTGGCAAAAAAATACAACGGCAGTATACCTTTGGCACTCCTGGGTAAATTATATAAATATTTACTTTGTTGAATTCCAACTAAACAGACAAAATAGACAAGACGCTGGTTTTACAGTAGGTAAAATAATAACTTACTGTGCTCTTCTGGATTTGTCTGGCCCTTTGTGTCATTGGTTACTTGTTCGTTGCTAAGCGGACCATAAGAAGGTGTGATTTCTGAAATTAACGTCACACATAAAATAAGCGTAGTATTATCGTCACTAACCTCTCTCACGCAGTAATGTAAATTCACTTCACTATTGATAATTTATACTGTAAGTAAATAATTGGAAAACAATAGAAACCAAACGAAATAAGAACACAGTAGTTTTATGGGAAGGTAAACGAATAGGTGCAAAATCTAAGTGCATTTCAACTATTTCTCACACAGCTTGCAGAGTGAATTTCTGCACGAAATAGAACATATGTTTGATACGAAGGGCGAGGGTAATGAGCAGTGATAGGAAAGGGAGAAAAGGGAAAGTGGAAGATAATTATACACATCTTATCGCATGGGTAAACAAATTAAAAGCAAGCTGAAACTTTGTTACAAAACAAATTTGAATTTAGGAAAAAAAGTCGATAAAAGGAAAGCTTTTCATACTTTTATATACACTTGTCAAAGGTATTTTAGAAGAAGGAAAGTCTAAATCGGCAAAAACTGTGACCGGCTAAGGTATATCCAAAGACAAATCAATTTTGCATCCTGGTCTCAGGCTTGCCTTAAAAATTAAATCAATTGTTCAACCATCCGTAGAAAATTTGTTAAATAATTTAAAAGATGTAAAATTGTTTATTCGCATTGAGATAAACAAGTCAAGGAATCGTTTATAACTGATTACCATGTATTATACCTTGTATTAATGATTCCGGTAAGCTACTTTAAACTGTCTTTTTATCAAGACGCAAACTAAAATAATTATGAGACTAAATTATTTCTTTGTTAACTGTAAAATAATCCAAGGGTAATCTACTTCAAAAAGTAACATTTCCCATGCCTGTTTTTTTTTTTAACAAGTGCGGTATATTTTTTCTCTAAAAGTCATTATTTGTGATGGTAAGTTTAACTGTTTTAGGTTTACTGCAGACATTTCAGGCCGTTCATCCGCGTTTTGGTATATAGATATTGATAATTGTACACAAACCAGAGGGAAAGTCCAAGATAAAGTATATATTTTTAAGTAGTAGTATAAGGGTATGGGTAAAAAGGTAAATAAATCAAATAAGATTTGGGAAAGAACCAAATCAGGATTTTTACTAAATACACAATAGAACAGCAAAATGTGTTTAACGTTCATCATTTTATTAGCTTATATATGCAACATTGTTCCTCAGTTATAACATTATATAACCCCCCCCCCCAAGTAAATTTCCTCGCATAGTAGGGGGATGAACTGATTCTCGGGCAGTTCAAAATGCATGCGATGGTTTGGATTGTTTCTCTTAACAATATACAAGTTTGAGATGGAGCTATGAAAGCTCCGCATTAATGCTGAGTTCCCAACTCTAACAATACCACCTGTTGGCCGAGCTTGCGAGGTTTAGCGCTTGTTTGAACTCTCACTATTGTTTTGATACAATTCCTTGCTTCTGGCCCCGCAGTTTCATGTTTAGAATGGTCTCATTATAGTCGGATTTCGAAATTTATCTTGAAATGTATCAAAACAAAAGTGTTCGTAGTATAAGTTATTTGGAAGCAAATTTCCTTATGGTAAAGTATGTTATGTATCTTTGCGATCTGTAGGAATTAGACCTAGAGGTTTCCAATGTATTCACAAAATGGGTGTTTGGTGAAACAGTAGGTTATAGGTGTAGCCGTTTAAAGTACGTTTTGAATGCCGATTTCCTTACATGATTAAGTGTGTTGGAAAATATAAATCATATGTGGATATTTTATGTAGATTTATGTGGGTGGTAATATAGTTATTAGTATTAAGCCTAGTATTGTTTTAAAATACCTTCAAGCCCGTAAGGTCCAAACACCTATCTATAGTACAATTTGGTGTACAGTAAAAAAACGTTTTATTTTTGCATTAATTAGGCTACTAGTCTGTTGTATCAGTTAAGGTAAAAAGAGTTAATTAAGAAGAAAATGGTGATTTATCGGGAAAAGTTATCTTTATAGATAAACTAATTTTTGTCCTAGCATAATCGGGTATTTAAAATATTGCTATGGTTAACAATATTTTAGCCAGTAACAAAACGACGAAGGCCATTCACTCAATTCCAAGATTAAATGTTCGTTAAAAATAGCCTTGAAAGTATATTATCAATATCCGGCTTAGTTAATAGCTTTTATCTTTAGCTTTAGTCTGTAGTACAACTTTAAAAGCTACCTCACTCTAGTCTACATTGCCATCATTCACGTTTAGCTTAAAATGTGTTACACCATTATAATTCATCAAATTATCAAGTAACCAGCTTAAAACAAATTATCAATTCACCAACTTTTAAAAACTCAATCATAGCAACACTTATAACTTGTATATGGACAAACTATAACCTAAATAGTGTTTGTTCTTACCACGAGGATGATAACGTGATAAAGCTCTGGACCCCCAGAAGAGAAGAAGAAGAACAGAGAGCCTCATCGTAGAGAAAGGGATAAGATATTAAAGAAAAGATTTTGAGGTGTGTAAGGCCTACGGATGATGCGAAACGCGGCATTTTATATCAACCTATCTTAAACGAGATTAGAATATTAAATTTAATTAAAATTTAGAATGTGAGATAGTAAGATATCTTTCAGCCACGGATTATCTCACCCGGGTTTGAAACACGTGGAGAATACAATGTCAGAAAAACCACTCGTGTAGGCTTAAAGTAATTAGGGATCATATACTTATACACCGCCAAAAAACTGCGGCTCTTTTGATACGTTAATTTCTTTTTAATTAGTTATTTGCAAACAGCATGTGTAATATGGATTACTTTGGCACGTACATTTTATATTTTAATCATCAATTATATTCTAAAAAGTATTTGCAAAATGTAGTGACGAATTTGTCATTTGGTGTATGGACTTGTCTCTGTATTAAGTTGGTAAAGTTACTTATCAAATGGAGTATTAACGTAGCTGCAGGCAATGGATTGTGTACATTTTAAAAACAAAATTTAAAAACTAAAGTAGGTGGACCTTGACCACTGACACTTGGCACCGATTACGTGGGTTCGGATCCTGGTGCCCGCCAATACTTTATGAGTGAGGTTAAGCTCATGACTGTATTGACTTACCTCTTGTTTTGTTGGATATGCCACGCACAGGCCCAAGACCTATATGAGCATTTTCAGATCAAAAGAGGCCACCAGCCTATTGGTACATCATTTAATAAATAGATACGATTGGCAGAAACATCAATTATATGGTTACAACAGACTCTGTAATACAAAGTCAACTCTGCTACATCTCAACTGTGGAGTTAGAATAACCCACTTGGTAAGGTACTAAAGGACAACCGTTCACTATATCTATTACTCATTCTGAGGTTCAACTTCACAGTCACATAAGTTACCTGGGGCCAGTCCCTACTTATGTTTCCATGAGCTTTATTACCCACATTGATGTGACACCGGTTACAAAAACTCTTTTTTATTGTACTTATTTAAATTACTTGTATGTCCCCTTAGAACCGGATCGAACATATGAATTCAATAATATAGGATTCAAAAGAAAAACACCACCGTGTTTTAATATCCGTCGATAAGTACCTCAAAAGTCGTTAGTGAATTAAAAACGAGAACTATTACCTTCCACATTAAATTTCCCTGAATCGATAAGGATAGTAAAAAATTTATAAATGTAGTTAAGAAACCAACCATCCCGTCTAAAATTTGTTTCTATTAAATTAAATTTTAGAAGTATGAAGTTATCTGTCATAACATAAATAGCAGTGAAATTCAACCCTATTTTGTATTAAAAACTAATTTCTCACTAGAACCAGAAATAAGAAATAATTTCATATATTTGTAAATGTTATATGTTATTAGGTAACTATAGGATCCCTTACAAAACAACAAGTTTGAATATAGAATGTTAGTAATCTTCTGTATCTACATTAACATTTGTGTGAAGAAATAATTATTTTGCTCCGCGTTTAAGATACAATTTAATACAATACAATAAAATTCAATACAATACAATTTAATACGCGTTTAATACAATTTAATACAGTTTTATTCCATATTGGTTCGTTTAGGCTAAAAATAATAGTGCGGTGAGAATGCTTAACATTATTCATCCGAACCAACAGTACGCTATAACATCGTAGAAACAAAGTATATTTTTGGGGATACAAACTTTAATACTTAATATCGACATTGCGTTAATTTGGCAAAGGACAACATTAGTTATACAAATTAAAACTCTATAAAGTGTACATGTACAAATTGGAACTTCACGAACTTTATTTATACAGTTTTCTGCTTGATTTGTCCTTCGTGATTATCCAGACTTAATTGCTAATCTTGTTAAGTTCTTTCTCACCTCACTACGGGATCAAATTCATAATCTTGCAAAGACGTTAAAAAAAAAATTTTTACTAATCGTGATGGAAATAGACCGATTCAAATATATTCCAGTTTAGTAATATAGTTAACAATCAAACTAAATAATCAAACCATAACTGCATATTATTTTTATTATAAACTACACAATCATACGCTACATGGCATAATCGGCCAACATGATCAAAACGTAGCCTTAATGCGATGGTTTCAGGTCCCGATAGCTGTCAGTTGATATCAATAGCAGGTGGACATAATAGTCTAATACCCCGGTCTGATCAGACCGATATCTGTGTAATCTCTGATGAATTAGTCGATCAATTTAAACAGAACACCGACAAACCGCCGGATCAGGGCACTGAATACTTTTATATCGCTTTTACATTCGGTTTTCATGGCTAAATACAGTTTTTGGCTAGGCATTTTATAAAATTTTCTATACGTATCTAATTTAGTTTTGACTTATTATCGTTTTTATTTAAAAGCCATTTTTATTATCAGAGTTTGTGATGTATATTTTGCTTTGTAATATGAACCGTAGGGACTTTTTGGAATTCTAGCTTTATTTTCAGTAATTTAAGTTATCTGGTAAAAAGTATCGGCAATCAATATACAATACAAACAAACACAATTTGGCAGATTTTTATCAATGGTCATTATGATAAATGCAATTAATAAAATCTAGTATATATTTTAACAACAGTATTTACAAGTTAAGCTAATAATAAATCTACTGTTAATTTACTGTTGAAGCCTCTTTTGTATAATGCCAAATGCAACTATTTTGGCGTTAAATACCTCGATTCATGAATAGATTATACAGATTTACAAGTAGGTAAATAGTTTTTGGATTTTTATTTTAATTTATAAATGATAATTTAAATGTGAAAGGTATGACAGTATAACTAACTTTAAACTTTATGATTTTCAATAAGACACATTGAAATAGGTAATTCTGCAGGTTTGCTGCGGTCTGGGTATTATCATTTTTTTTCAACTCGAATAATTTGTTGATGTTTGTTGAAGAATCCATATAATATGTGTAACTAATTGAAAAATATACACCTTCAGATTAAGCTAATGTAAGAAAAGTCAAATTAAATACACGATCAAATGCATTTTTACTTTATAATATCAAGGATTACCGTCGTTGTAATATAGATTCAACCAGCTCCACATTTTTTTTTAGTTCATTATGGAAACAATAACAGGAATTTGTGCTGTGATTTCCGCCACATGTTTCAATCAGTCGATGGCTGCTTAATTGACACTGATTTTGGCGGGAAACCCCTCGATACAGCTGTCAATCCTTGCACATGTTACTGGTTTCATTGCTATATTATATGTAGCCATCGATTTCAGTAATAGAGATCGACGTACTATCGATCTCTATTACTGAAATCATTTTTACCAACTATTTTAACGAATAAATAAAACATTATGTTCATACAAAAACACTAATGATTACGGCACGGCTGCAGGTTCAGGGCGTAGGCACAGACAATATAATACTTTAATGGTTAAAGTATTATATTGTCTGTGGCGTAGGTCTAAACTAGAGTCAAGAGCTTTATTCGTGAAAATATTCTTTCGTGTCTCGTGTTTGTGTTTTAAAGACTTCTTGACGACCTCCTAGGAGCGACAACACGTCTTAAAGGCTTGGCAATGGCACCATGAGTGTCGAAACAGGTCTCTATCGCCAGACGACCATTGGATTACGTTGGCAACAAAAAAGTATTTAACCTTTAGAATAGTATTGGGTACAATATCTTACGATTTCAGCTAACAGCATTGGCTACAAAACACCTACATCTCTACCTAAACAATGATACCGTCCAAGTCTGGCCGTCTCTTCACCACAGGTAACCTCCAGCAGTCCAATCCTATCAATATGTGTGTGGACGTGTCAGAGTTGTAATAGTAAACAAGTGGTTAAATGTTGTAATCATTCTGTCGTCTTCCCCATGTCCAATAAAGTAGTAAGTGTAAGCGAGGAATACAACAAACGGATTCCTTTTAGCGAATTTCCCATATAGGGAATTAGCGAATTTCCCATGTAGGGAATTAGCGAATTTCCCATATAGGGAATTAGCGAATTTCCCATATAGGGAATTAGCGAATTTCCCATATAGGGAATAAGCTATTACCGTAGTACTCATGGTAAGACCTGGACCCGGGACCGATTTTTTTTTCGTTTTGAGGTCCCTAGAGGCCAAAAACACCATCCGTTCAAATTCATATATATATATATATATATATATTTATATAAAATTAAAACATATATAACAAAGTACCCTTTTAGTAATTATATTTATTTTTCATGACGACATGTTTCGGAACTACGTCCATTGTCAAGTCATTTTTACCATAACCTCATTCTTTAAACTAACAAAATTAAAAATATAATCATATGTAAAAATAATAAAATATGTTAAGTAAATCTTAATACATTTTGGTATTATTTTTTTCATTATACTATATGAATTTTTCTTTCTTTCCTTAGTTTTTCAATATTTATATATATATATATATGTGTGTGTGTCCGTTAGCGTGATAACTCGAGCAAAAATGATCCGATTTTGATGAAATTTGGTACAAACGTGTAAACCTACGTTTATTCGAACGAGTTCTCGAACCAGCATGATCGGACCATGGGAACAGGGGTTTATGGGGGCTTTTATGGGGTAAAAATGGGGTTTTCCTATTTTTGACCAAAATAACATAATATTTTGAAATTTCTTTCCAAACTATTTTGTAGAGCTTAAAAAACAAATAATTTAGTATATTGAAGCGTTATAATGCGCCTAATGGTTACGGAGAAAATTCCAAAAAATTGTTAATTTAAAATTCCCATGTTATTCTTATGGAGAATAAGTACACCGTTGTAGTGTACTTGTTTATTAACATATTTTGCCCAAATTTGGAAAATGTTTTTATTTCTTACTAACTATTAACATTTTACATAAAAAAAAAACACTTTTACCCTCCCTGTTGCAGCAAACCTAAGTATGTGTTAAACTGATTCTATTTAAATAGGGAATAAATGTGATATTTTTAAGGAGACATTTTAGTCTAAATCCAATCAGGCAAATGGAAATTCGCTTAGTCTGCAGGTTTGCTGCGGCGGGGGTATTTTTTTGTGTTAACCAACGACGATTGTTTATTAACTATTGTTTTGCTTCCTCCACCTATACATATAGAGAAAGTAACATTTTGTTATAATTTTGGAGTTGAAGTTTTGGGTGAAAATATCCGTTAAAGGCCCGCTGAACACTTAAAAGTAGACTGAGAGAGGCAAAAGGACGTACAACCAACTCCATGACGGCCCTTCAAGACTCTCTGACATACAATTCAACCAGTAAACTTCAAGATTTTCTTCAAGATTGAATAACGACTAATATAAGTCTGCTTCTGCACATCGACCCAGGGTGAAATTCCGGAAGACAGATAAGGATAGACAAGACCGAAATAGGCCTTCTATAAAACATTTGCTGTGTAAAAGTCAAGGCAAATGAAGATGCCTTCACGCAGGCTCTGTCAAGGCGAATGCTGTTTACAGTGGCTTTGACAAGTTTGAAAAAATAATCTTTTATATAGGAGAAGATCTCCAATCTTTACTGTTACCACCTTGCTTGGTTTAGTGACTATGTAATGTGTAGTAACAATTTTTCAGAGTTATGTTTAAAGCTCATGTTATTAAAAATATACGAAGCAAATAATGATCCATAAATGTTCTTACTTTATATTTGTTTTAAAATGCGAAATGTTGTTAATTTTATCCTCCAGTATTGCCTAGTTTTTAATTATTATAAAATAAAGTCAAAGTCGGAATCAGTGAGGGGAGAAGGAGTGATTAAAAAACATACATATACACTAACATCCAGGCTTTTTGCCAAAAGGCACGATTTATTTATGTAGAAAAAAAATTAATAAATAATAATAAGTATTTAATCAACAAATTAATATCGTTGTATTATTATTACAATTATTATAACATTGCAAGACCATACATTATATCGAACCAGAAGTATCCTTCATAAAATTATCACATAGTTTGCTTTATGAGATTATCTTTTTCAATGTCGCAAAATGTTAAAAAATGTTTCCAATTAATTATTACATTTTATAACATAATCAAGACAACGTTATATAATCAAATAACATTCTGCATTTTAAATGTGTTTGGCACAAACACGTTTTTGTAAAATAAAAACATGTTTACGCCTACACCTTATTACATTCTACATTATAAAATTATATGCACACATTTCTATTCAAACAGTAAGAAAAATTTGTCTGTTTAAATACAAGAATTATCAGAAATATAATTAGAATTGTAAAAAGGCTTTTATTCATAAAATATATGACTAAAGGACAGGTCTATAATATTAAATTTAAAAATTTTGACCTTTTTTGTTCGTATTGCTTGAACCTACCCAATAAATAAACGTCAATTCTTGCTCTATACTGTATAAAGGAAAAAAACATAATTAAAAAAAAAATATTACGAGTGTACATATTTCTCGTATATAGCCAAGACTACAAAAGATTTTTCCACTCGAATACAAAAATATCTCGATGGGATTTCTCTTTCATACTAAGCTTTACATATTGAAATTAAATAGTTAAATTTTATCTTTTACGTTCAATAAAAATATACTATTCAATTTCAGGTCGTTCATATACTTTTTAAATTGCAGATCGTCGGTATGAATGTAAAAATGACTAGACTAACAAACTAATACTGTTACTGCAGCAGCCTGAGTAAACAGACAGCCATGAGGGCAAAGCCCCCTAGTGACGTCATACAAGGCGCAGCTGAAGGGGAGGGGGCTGATGCCATAGGGCCTATCCGGGCGGCGTAGGCCATTACGTGGGGAATGACGTTTTGCTCGTAGCTGCCAACCAGAAGATGGGCCCACGGGCCACGGGCGAATACGGCGACGTCATCTCCTCCGTGTGTCTCTGACTTGAGTGGCACCAGCGAGGGATACTGGTACCTGGGGTTGTCTGCAACAGGGGAGAGAAAATGCTATAGTGACATTGGAGGCGTAAGAAAAAGTTTACCTTTTTTTCTACTGAAGGCGTAGAAAAACGTTCCTTTTAGATACCATATTTACATTATAGAACGGACAGAACCTCAAAAATCATAGGAATAGAACGTTATGGTAGGAATTACTAATTTAGGTGGTCGCTCCTGCAACGGTAGCCAAGGCTAGAGGTTTTCCAAGGAAAACGTTAACATTCAGAGATGTACTACAGTACCTACGGTTGAAAGTTTGGTAACTAATATTTTCTGTGACAGGGGGAAGAGAAAATGTTATGTGTCCATCAGATGGAGTTTAAGATAAGCGTTGAGAAATATAACACGCTTGATCCCTTAATCACGTTTTCTTTTTACTTATTTAAAGGCTGTAATCGCTCAAGTCACATGGGCAAAACGTAATGCAGTAGTACGAGGTGCAGAATTGGGAGGATGATCCTAAAACGGAAGATAAAGATTGGATTTTCTGGGTTGCTAAATGGTTTTTGTTCTCGCCTTCAAACTTAAGTTGGCCAGTTCAAGTATAATAGATCCTGTGCTCAGATTTAGTTTTAATATGGCCATCAGCTATTGATGTTTTCCAAGAAAGAATTCACTTTACCTTCAGGAAGAAACTATCATAAACGATGAAAATAGTATACATGGTTTGCTAAGTTTTCTACCCTCTATATAAAATTTAAAATGCTACACTTTAAGCCTCTTGAATTCTTTTCTTCAAATCAGTGGTGGAAAATGTTAGCAAAATATCCTAAACATGAACTCGTCACCACTATTCACAATCTCTAGACAAAGAACACCGTACCTAATCAGCATTACAACTAACAATTTTCTCTTACCAAAATCATCATTTGTAACATCTCTCCGAGGTCCAGTTCTGTTCCTCTCTGCCGAAGGACCGTTTGCGTAGCTGAGAGTTGTGTAGTTCAGCCCATCTTTGTCCGACTTTTGGCTGAGTCCGAGGATGTTTGAGCCTCGTTTGGCATATCCAGCCATCATCATTGTGTGTGAGTGATCTGCTGTCACTACCACCAGAGTGTCCTCCTCACTTGTCATCTCCAGGGCTTTCTGAGTGAAAATTACATCATTTAAGAATGCTGAACAATAACAAAAACACGTAATTACTGCCGTAATTATTTAAGTTTACCGAGAAACTGGATTTTGTAAATTATAAATGTGCAAAGAAAGAGAAAATTATTTCTTCAGGTTATCCATTGGTTTATGATCAACTTTATGAATTGCTAAATGGAGATTATATAATTGAAACTAGAAAGAATCTAGAAGGTTTTGATAGCAAAGACAGTGATTATGCCTTTTTACGTAAACTACCATACACATGAACATTTGGTCTTTCGAAGTTGCACCTGAAAGCACCAAAAAGTAGCCAAACATGCATTTGAAAGGAGCTTCATTTGAACTATTTTCGCTGTATATTGCTAACTAAAGATAAACTAAACGATAAGAAAAACTTAGTATCCCTACAATTGTAATGTCGTAAAACCTTCCCACAAATTGGGCTCGCCCGTTGTTCAATCATTTACTATGGGCTTCTAAATATTTACATTAATAAAAGTATTTTGTCTTACTTTGACCGCCTTGTGTAGCTCGTTTGTCTCGTCAAGTGCTCGCCTCGCCATGTTGTCATGGTGAGCAAAGTCTATTCTGCCTCCCTCAACGAACAAGTAGAATCCTTTCTTCTCCTTCTGCAGCATTTTTATCGCTGTTTCCGTCATCTCCTCAAGGCTCGGCTGAAGCTCGCTATTTTCCTCAAGATGGTACAGCAAGTGCTCCTTTTGGAACAGACCTGATGGCAAAAGATAAGTTGAAAATGAAGAGAGTAGAAGAGAGGATAGGATTAATGAGCAGATCAATTAATTGCCATCTCACAACGATTGGCGTGTGGTTAGATCCAGAAATTTGTTATTAAATCCGTATGATTTTGTGGCGCAACTACTAGATTTGAGGGTGTGAGACTTCACCCTCAGACTTAAGACTATTTTCTTGACACCACGAATTTATTATAGAATTTAGCTATTTTACTTTCTAGAAGCCCACCAAAGATGTAGTTACATGTATTTGCAATAAAGGTTCTAGCTTTAAACGAAACTCTCTCTGTATTGGTAGGTTTCCTTCCACTAATTCCTAGTAATGTTGTTACTTTTGAAGATGTGCAAATTCAATGGAAGTAGAAAATGTTAGTGTTATAGTTCTTATTTATTTTATATACAACTAACCCGAGGCAATTCGTGAAGCCACAAACAATTGCATTCCACGATTACGTTGTTTTGATACCTACCTATTACTCTGCTAACTTTATTTAATGATTTACCTAGGAGATAGTCTGTGTGTTTTATGTCCACACCGAGCAGCTGGTTTCTGTCAGTTACATACGCTGCTTTTCCTCTGTATTTCTTCTCTTCTTTCCAATCCTCCACCAGATTTCTACCGTCTTTTCGCTCGCCTTCGCCCAAAGGTGTGTTTGTATTGTTTGGAAGAAATCTGGAACGTCCGCCTCCAAGTAGAACCTAGAAAATACAACCTCTTAATTTGTAAAAATTTATGATACCAAGCGGAATGAAAGAAGGATTTTCGCTCAAAAGCCTTTCACCACAGGTCCATAGGTGCTGTATTTGGATTAGGGCCATAGGTGTTTTGGTCCGTACAGTAATCTTAAGACGGTTAAGTACAGTGACGGCATGTGTTACATAGTAAACCCAGAGGTGGCCGTAATGATAAGACAACCCTAGCGAGTCTCGTACGAGCATAGCCCCAATCTAGTGCAATCTCTGGCAATACCACCGAGCTACCTTGTCAGGTAAGTTTCTGGTGCAAAAATCTAATTATAAACTTGTATTTTGTGGTTTTAGTTACGTTATGTATTATCTCTTGAAGTGTGAGTGGTTGAAGGAAATAGTTTAACGTGAAAATATTTTTATTCAAAATAAACTAAATATAATATGCAGTTTCTTCTCTAAAAACTGAAATTTTTAATATATTACTTACAATATCACTATGAAAATAATATTACAATCCGGTTACGTAAGCATTCAACACCTTTACTATTCATCGATAATTGGTATTTATTCAACAAGATCTGCGTTAAGATACAAATTAAAACACAACACTGTGGAAAGTTCGAGCTAGCCGTAGGACACTCAATAAGCCTTGTCTTTACCCCCAGAGCAGAGGGTGGGAGAAGAGTTGTTTGCCTCTTATACTTGCAGATCGGCTTTACGTCAATCGCGATGCCGTTGCCTCTCTTCCGTTTTCTGTGCAATTTACATAACAATGAACGCACCTGATGGGACCAGACAACTAATGGCTTTTATTACACTCTTGCAAATTACTTTTCTTTTCGCTTTGAACAGTTGAAAATTCTCCTTTTATCTTTCTTGAGTGTTTTGCATGCGGTAACTGCGAGGAAATTATAGCTAGTTTGGATTATGTATTTTGTTGTTTTTTTTGTTTTTGTTGTTGTTTTTTAGTTATGGTGTAAGTCTAAGTTAACTTACTTGTATGTTACTTAAATTCGTTATTGGTTGACGTATTTTAATTGGATCGGAAACGTGTTTCAATGTTTTAGAATTACCAAGATCTAAATATTATACCGGGATTTAACAAACTTAAAACTCAACAGCCCTAACATACACATATGTAAAAGAAATACTATTGAGTATCAGTTAATTTTGGCACATTAGGACAAAAAGGCGAATATCAAAGAAATTTTCTAAAAGTAGGTTTACCCTTAATATACGTTTGATTATTTTGCTGTTTTTTTTTTGGTTTTCCAACATTTTGTTAGGGTTGGTCAGAATTAATTGAGACTCGGGTGCAACACCTTTACATATGTGTTGGTTACGACTGTAGAATTTCAAGTATGTAGCTCGCTCTATACGTCTTACATATCAATTTAAAAATAGGGACCTCTTCCTGGGACTACATTAACGTGCAATAACTCACCGCGTACATTAAAACTTGCTTTACACCTAAAAAATATTTTTACATTGTCTTCAGCTTATCCAGAAGGATGACAGATCGTTCAGTACACTTATCTTATCTCATCTCATCTATGTTACCTTGCAGTTTTTGCCAGGCAAGTTGTGGACCAGCTGGTAAGCTATGTCTTGACACATTGAAGGATCGGCTTTGTGTTTCTCAGTCAACATATCGTAGTCGCTCTCCCAATCACGGTCTGCGATATGGGCGTAGTGGCCTGCTGGCGAAGCATGGGTGATACGGGTAGTTGTGACTAGGCCAGTCGCCTTGCCTAGAGAAAGTAACGTGTTTTATCAGTACTGTAGCACTCAGATTTAAACTTAGGAAAAGGATTATCCAAAGAGATATTTGTATTTTACCATTGACTATACACAGATGCTGTGCATAATCAATGATTAGTCACTAAAAATAACATTTAGCGACCTTCAAAATAAGCGTTAGGAATCCTTCTTTGCCATTGTTTGTGGTTGGTCTCGTATCATTATAGTTTAACTCGTTCAAACTCTTTATTTCATCAAAATGATACATATCTCTATATCGGAGTCAAATTACATTACTAGTGTGACCAGTATTATTAGTATTACTAGCTATCACAGTTCTTCAACTATTTTTTCAACCATTCAACCACATTCCACAACTATTCCCAGGATCTTATTGTAGACATGATTATCATCAGATAAGTACTACTATAACTATTCAGCTATTGAATACCACTGACCTGCCTCCTGCGCCCAACTCAGTATGGTGTCCACGTGGTTACTAGGATCATTGGATAGAGAGCAGTTTCCTCGAGTCACCGCCGCCGTCACCCCGAGAGTACCGTAGTTCGCTTTGACTCCGCCCAGGTAGGCAGTAGACGAACATGCCGAGTCTGCCACCTGCTTGTTCACACAGTACGTCTGCAAACAAAGTCATCGTCCAACTTTCATTAGGATGGAGATGTGCAAATCATAAACTGACATTTAATTTAAAATGTTGGTCAATACACTTGTCGAACAAGTGACATGTCGATCAAGTGGCATGTCAATCAAGTGGCATGTCGATCAAGTGACATGTCGATCAAGTGGCATATCGATCAAGTGGCATGTCGGTCAATTGGTGGCCTTGAGTCACCTATATTCCCAGATTTTAAGATTTGGCTGTACACAGACGCACTATGAGCTCCATGAGATCTATTCACGAAGATCTCCCTAGTTTAACTTCCTTCACATATTTTCTCTTATCTACCTTTGGAAACCAAGATAACTAGACTCTTCACCCATCTCTGGCTCTGATAGAACCGCCAGTTTTAAAAAGGTATTTATCAAACCCCACACTCTTAACTACAAACAATCGATGTCACTTGAAGTTAGATGTGTATTAGCAATGTTTTATGGTGTGTCTTTCATTACCGTTGGCGGGCCCAACCATTATTATAATGAGGCCATCCATACGTTACTCTTGTGGTCTCCTTTCTTAAACATAGTTTAGGGGAGTATTTGCTGGACTTACTCTTGACAGACCAGTCCACGGAAGCTCCTCAAAACTGAGACTAGATCCTTCCCCAGATTGGTTGTCGAGTTGGCCGTGGTATATTCTGGCAGATGTTACGGTTGTGATGGACATTCCATCGCCGAGGAACAGTATCAAGTTCTTCGCCTTTGACGTGATTGGTCGCTGCTGCATCTTGGCGAACAATTTGTCCTGAGCCTGCGCTCTCCAGTAGGCAACATCTACAACAATCGTGCAGTTTTTAATCAAACCCGACCTTAAGTAATAGGATACTGAGTGCAACATCTAGTTTCACAATTCAGATATACTCAGGTAAAAATGTGGCATTCCTTATAAGCCAAGCTTTACTTTGATGTGCATTATTACAAAATTATCACAAAATTGAAAATTACATTTGTTTGTATTTTTTTATTATTGTCTTCTGTTAGAGCGTTTTAAAAGATTTTTTACTACTTGCTCAGTATTTGTAAATCTAACAGTGATTAGTTTAACAAATTTTTCATACAATGGATAAGCTATAAACTGTAGGCCCCGTGACTGTAGGGACCTAGCCACGGGACCGATTCACTTTTTCGTTTTGAGGTCCCTAGAGGTCAAAAACACAATCCGTTCGCATTCATATTACAGGGTGAATCTGGCAAGGTTTACACGATTGATTTCAGCCCAACCGATGATTTCACAATGATGAATTAAACATTATTCCAATAGACTAACCCCAAGTAATTTTATAAAAATATTATGTACAACCAGAGGTTGACTAGTTCAACTCTTACATTTGTCAAAATAAAAAATAATGTCAAATTATGCAGTACATAAATTTAAAAATTAAAAAAATAGGGTTAAAAGTATGTTCTTATAATAAGGTTCAAAAATATTTTTGGGTAAAAAGTAATAAACCTTAATAAGATATATAATTTCCTGTAATTATATATATATCAAAGTTTAAAAATTTTGTGAAATGCCTCCGATAACATTTTAAACTAAAATAATTTCATTGTGGATTAAATGTGAAATTTAAATAAACTAAATAGCCACCCCTAAAATGAGTTAAGTTCAAAGTTTACTAAATATAATCCAATCTTGAAATATTCAGGATATGATAAGACCAATACCAAACCCGAGGAAGCAATAACGTTGTGGGAGCCTGTTGAAGTTGTCAGAACAAGTATCGGGCAGCAAAGAGCGAGGGAGAGTAAGGGGGAGAATTGGGAGAAAGAGGGAGAGAAAGGGAGAGATTGGGGGAGGAAGGGAGAGGATAACACACCACTTAGACCGTAATGCAATCTGCATGCGAGAGAAGTTTTCGGTGCCGTATAATATCACACCTTTGATCCTCGTGTACATCCTGCACAAGCTTGGCTCACTCGGGGTGTACGTAGTGCGTAAAACATATGGAACAACGTGGTGGGTTTATAGTACTACGTATAGGCATAGACAAAAATAAATATAGACTGTCAGCCATACAGTGGTTACCATAGGCTCTGGCACACACCGTTGGGAGTGCCGTGTTACGTAGCGCTCCCAGCGGGGACCACCTGAATCTATGGTAACCGCAGCACAGCTGACGGTCTATATTTAATTCTTTTCGTCAATGGTATAGGGGGGGGGACTTAGGTGCTATATGAGCGGGCGACCCCACCATAAACCTGATTATGATTATATCCTGAGGGGTTAAACAGCTTTTACTTTAGGCGTTCATCGTTTTTAACTTAACGCCACCAGAGTAAACAATAAAAAAATATTTATACTTCCTACAAATACGATTTTGTCATGTCTGTTGATGAAGTTATATATGTGGGTAACGCTTATATAGAGTTGTATTATTCAATACAAACCAAATGGTTAGTACATGTGGTTAATGTTCCAATTATATTTATTATCACTTTATTGTACATTACCTTTTACTAAGGAGATTCGTAGACATTTAGTTTCCATTTTAGATTTGTTGTGAGATTTAGAATGAAAATCTACGTAATTATATTGAACCATCTATATATTTTGAAGCAGGCAATTTGTTATTTCTATTGTATGTGTTACAGGCAAAGTTTTTAATCGGGCATTCTATACAATATTTCCTTAAACTAACTAGGTGCTAAACTATTATTATTATTATTTACTTAGTCATTCTCTAGGATACCCGTTAGCACTGCAGGTAAAGTGTAAAATATACAATTATAGGAAGTTTTCCTTGTTTGGCATAAGCCAATCTAATCTAAAACAAACTAACCTTAACCATCCTAACCTTACACAAAATATTTCAATGCTGTGAGTTTCTGAACAAATACATTTATTTTATACTTTACCTGACACACCTGTGTGCATTCATGCGTGTATATTATAGACAAATTGTATTATAGGCAAATTGTATACAATTCTATTGTTGTTTCATACTTTGCCTAAAAGCTTAAGGCAATGTATAGAATGTCTAGTCATTCGAATTACTGCATTACATACTTTGCCGGAACGGACTGCACAAACTTGGCATTAGTCACGTCCGATCTATTAGTCCCCGAATTACGGTTTAAGGTTGAAGTATATGTGTTAAATATTTCCAACTAGAGATGGGATATTGACCATCAACTGTGGGATAGGGTTTATAAAGTATGTACGGAATATAATATATATTTTTGTTGAATCGCACCCCTGCACGTAGAAGCTGACCTGCATTCCCTACTCTGTGTTAATAAAACTGAGACACGTTTGTTCTTTCTACAACTGTGCGATACTTTGTCTCGACGACGTGACACCTGATAAAGTTTGTATTTTGTTATAAAACGTTGGGGATAAATAGTTTGTGTTTTAAAATGAGAACATTACAACATCTTAGTTATCAAGAAATAGGTTAATCTCTACAAGAAAACCCCCTTGTTTGTTACTAAGGTGTATTTGACGTTTAAACTGTTGACATTTTAATTATGTTATAAGCATGGCCATCGACCATCCCAAAGTTAACTTCATACATTAATGCATTACTGATTTAGATTTATCCTAATAAATAGTCTGGTTAAAAAAATAGTCATAACCATCCGCAATCTTAATAACAAACTCTTATACACGCTTAAACTTTTAGTAACGATTCCTAGAGCTATTAAACTCGTAACTATACCAAGTATCTTAAAATAAAGTCTTAGCTGTGTCTTTTAGTAGATCATACTTGTGTATTACTGGTTCATAGAGATAAAAAAAATCCACAAAAAGTTTGGGTAAACATTTACGTAAGGTATTTATGTTGTTTCATGGTGGGTAAGCCTCTGGATCGTAAATTGCAATATAAAAATGGTTTATGTTACCTTTTTTGCGCCAAACGATCCGTGTGTAGTTAGTGCAACTACAGCTGTGTCATGCCACTAGGGCACATCTTCAGGTTCTTGGTAGAACGTTAGATAAAAAAATCATTCATTCCTAGATGAATTTTTCGAGATAAATATGCATATTCCTGCTTAAAACGAAGCTACTTGGGAAAAACGTGACTTAAAAACGACAAGGTCGGGGTAATGCTGTAACTTTGCACTTTGGAATAGATAAAATTGATAATGAACTTTACCGGATAAGACCTCAAATTGATAATTAATTGAAACAGTCGTGACTCTAAGCAATCTTATCGCAGTGCCAAGTCTATATAAAGAAATTATCTTTACTTCTTGTTGAGAGGGTTTTTATAATTGTATTTTTAACTTGGAGCTAAATTAATGACGAGTCGTTGATGCGTGCAAACGAAATCTATATTTTTTCATGTAGCCTATATTTGGATGTCAGTAAAGCAACATAGTTTGCTAATCATCCATGCATACTTTGATATTGCAACCATATCCAACATATTAACAACCTCATAACTGATTAATTTAACCAAAGTAACACATTTTTATCCATTAGTTACGTTAAAAAATACAGAGTGTTCTCAAAAGATTGGTACAATTTCTACTTTAGTCTTGCTGTCTAATTTCGACTCGTTCACCCACATTCTAAAGTTTTGTTTTTTGTCCATACAAGCTTTGGTAATTATGTTATTAAGAATTTTATAGTCACCCAAAACAAACATATAATATTAAACATGTATAAAAGTGGCTCAGTAACTATAAAATATTTGTGAGGTGTAAACTGAGAATGAATTAACTGTTTGCTTTACAATATAGATTACCTAAACCTTAACTATAGGTACCTCCAACTCACTTAATTATAAATACATAAGGAAGTTTAGTCTAGAAAATAAAATTACATTGTTACGTAACTACAACTGAAAGACAATGCACGTTCTCAAATCATGTGTTGTTAGCAGGCTCCATTGTTTTAGTACAATTAAGTACTTAGGTTCACATCAATCAAACAAACACTAGCCTTCAGGCGGCAACACCTATATTTAGATGACTTTAAAGTCACCTTATGACAATTACTAATGTTATGTGGTGTACAAGTGTTGGTAGTTCGCAATAATATATTCATAAAATTCACCATTCGTTTGTTAATGTTGTTACAAGAAGCTTCTCTCATGGCACAAGAATCATAGTAGGCCTATAGCTTGAAACCTGTGATTATACATTATTTCTCATTAGATTGACGCACTCCTAAGCTTAGGCCTAAACTATAATTATGGTTAAGTTATTTGATTGGTTTGAACAGTAAAATGCAAAAGAAAATTGCATTCACTAGTTTGTATAGCAATTTGTAATTTTAAGTTTGTTTTGGTGGTCTACCAATGTAACGAATAATAACAACCTTTCTAGTTTTAGTTAGCCATATCCTATACAACACATTGGTTAAAAATCCCTATGTAAAACGCGATTTTAAATGTTAGGCTACACATCGAAAAATAAACAACTTATACAATAGAGTGAAACTGTATGCACCTCATTATGTGTTCATACTGTACACCTTAACTTGACTACGTTAACTTGACAGGTATACTTTGGCCTTGTCCAAAAATAATTTAACGACATATGATTTAAAAAACAATAAACCAAACATCATTTTAACACAAGGTACTTACCATTTTCTGTAGTAGTGGAATGTATGTTTGAGTCATCAACAGCCGTCATGTACTTGAACTGGTCGAGTTCTGGAAACAAAAAGATCACCATAAGAAATAAGTAAATAAATTAAATAAAAAAGACTGTAGCATTTTAGTCTTTAGGATATGACTTGTTAAATTTCATTAAAGCAAATCATTAGTGAATATTGTAGCTTGTAGTCCAGTCAAGGAATGAAGTGTAGAGTGCGTGAGCAGGTAACTAAGCGATTCCTTCAGAAACTTGTTCAGGGGGCTTAGGGTGTTAACATACCAAAAGTCCTGACTCCTAGGTGGTGAGCCTGGGGGTGGAGAGGGGAAAAAGGGGGGGGAGAAAGGTACGCATTTTGGGTTTTTTGATTATATCTCGAAAACTATCAACTTTTTGTATACTATAGTAAATTATAAAATTGAAGAAGATTAAATTTTCTACAAGAAAAGTATATAATGTGTTTATTTTGGTTCAACAGATTACGAGTTATAACTTATTTAATTGATATCTTATTAAAATCTTCTTCCATAAGAAATACATGTAAATTAGTATGCGAAATGGGGCGAATCCTATCCGCCCATAGGAAATATAAACGATATTCTGGAAATCTTGACAACATTTCCAGTAATTTGACACTTTAATAATTAAAATTGATCCAAAATTAAGGCGAGGGCGAGGTAACAAAATTTCGAGTTTTGGTGTTTTTTTATTGGAAATATAAAAAAAACCTTAAATCATCCCATTTTTTAACGCTCACCCTCGCTTTAATTTTTGACAAAATTTCATGATTAAAGTGTCAAATTACTGGAAATTTTGTCAATATTTCCAGAATATCAGTTATATTTTCTTTGGGTGGATAGGATTCGCCCCATTTCGCATACTAATTTACATGTATTTCTTATGGAAGGAGTATTTTAATAAGATATCAATTAAATAAGTTATAACTCGTAATCTGTTAAACCAAAATAAACACATTATATACTTTTCTTGTAGAAAATTTAATCTTCTTCAATTTTATAATTTACTATAGTATACAAAAAGTTGATAGTTTTCGAGATATAATCAAAAACCCCAAAATGCGTACCTTTCTCCCCCCCTTTTTCCCCCCTCCACCCCCTGGCTCACCACCTAGGAGTCAGGACTTTTGGTATGTTAACACCCTAAGCCCCCTGAACAAGTTTCTGAAGGAATCGCTTAGTTACCTGCTCACGCACTCTACACCTACTTTTGGATCATTCATTGACTGGACTATTGTCTCAAAGTTGGACGGCTGCAAAGCATTAGAATCATCGGTTATTCCGTCAGATAAGTATCTCTAGTTCAGTTCGACATCTAAGGCATCTTTCAGGCCATATGCAGGCCAAGATTTGGGTGGTGTATTTGTGAATTGTTTATATTTTATTCCAAGACAAATCAAATTTAAAAATTTTTTCTTAAGAGTAAATTGTAATTTTGAAAATGAATCAGTTTAGATATATAAGATTTATTTTGATTTATGATTCGTATATATTTATTAATGTCTTTACTGTCTGAGCGATGAGTTATATTTGATATCAAATATTTACATTTTGCTGAGGTTTTTACATAAATAATTGGGAACATCTTCGAGAAATAATTTACACATTGCGCTTTAGTTCTGACCTTAAGTTATAACCTTAAAGATATGCACGTCATGAACTTTGCATTCAGATTATAGAAATGATTACACATATTACTTGAGTCGGAATATATACTAATTATTTCAATGATCACATTTGAAATCTCTTTTATAATAAAGTTCTCAAACTATGTTAGCCCCAATACCACAGACTTGTTTGGTCACGAGTATTGGTGTGTAGGCGGTTGAAGGTCATTGATAACTAGTCAAGAATGAAAATAAGATAAGACGACCACACATATTGTCACATGGCCGTACGAAATAGTGTTAACGAGTGGGAAATCACGGATAAAATATACATTTGTTTGCTTAGCTACTTGTTCTATTAGAAGATTGTTTAATAAATTGTTGTCATACACTGAACATAAAGAATTTCTCATGTTACCGAATCCAGCTGTGTGAAGAATTGTTTGTGGTCATCTCCAATCAAACTTTTAAAATAGATTGTATATTGTATGTATATGATACACAATGTTGAAGACAACAATTTCATACAATTATTTTAATGTGAAAGGAAATGCCAATGAGCATATACATAGCATTGGTATTTAATTCCCCATTTAATTTTTATTTATTCTTGGAAAGATTATTAGGCCTAGTTTGTTTGCAATTTCTGTCTGAATGAGTATGAGTTTTAAGTCTAAATTTTGATCTCTATTCAATTGCTTTAATTTCTGAAAACTAACTGTAAGGATATTTCTGCTTGCGTTATATAACGTCAATGACCTGACGCGGGTTTACTTTCTCTTTGGAATACTTCCAATGCCTGAGGTTATTTCATACATGATTAGAGATTGGTCACCAGAACTACTTTCAATTTCTTAATGCAGTGATATTTAATTTTCTTTTTAATCCATATGCCAATATGTTCTATGAATAGTAAAATCTATTCTTTCCCTGTGTTTTTATGTCTAAAGTCACAGATATATTGTTTTATTCCTTCAAATCCATCGTAAAACCCTGAACGAAGGGAACGAAATATAAAGTTTAAATGGTTGTATGGTTGACTTTTAGAACAAAGTCAGCGATTTTATAACATTATCGTAACAAAATATTCACAAGAAACACTGGGTGCAAAAGTTTGCTCCAATCACATTCCCTTAACATTTCCCTTGACTGCTTAAGAAGCAAAACAAAGCTAATTTTGTTCTCTAATTACTGGGAACATGCAGTAAACTATATAAAGTTTTATAATCTTCTTTTAAGTATTTGAGAGTAAATGATCCTTTTTAGCACTACACTATTGTTTTGGATCAGTTGTCCTGATACAATTACATTTTGATATTCATAAATCGGAACTCCAAAACATTGCTATTCAAATTGTTCGACCAATTTGGAAAAATTGTTATAACCAATCATTCCTACGATTTATTTCTTATAGTAATTGAATATATATGTACATATTATACTAGTCAAATTAGTTTTTTTTTAAACCACAGATTCAATAGTATCCATGATTGAATACAAAAAGGAGGCGTTCATATGTAGATCATAAACTAGAACTAAACCAGATGCTAATATATCAGTATCGCTTTCACATTAGGTTCGCATCGTGGTACATTGACTTTTCTAACAATTATACGTCTCGTTAAACCAATCAGGTGCATGGTTTATGCTAGTTTGGATAGATAATACTAATGCTAATTGAACATGCGATAAGAGAAGCTAGTAAACAAGCCAAAGAGATTACAATGAGTTACAACAACGGTAATACTAGCCTGTGTTAGTGCTGTAACTGTCATCCATATTCAATAGCTCAACTCTTTAAACTGACAATATTTACCTTGATTTTAAATCTCAAGGCCCGTCTATTTATAGGGCATCATTAATACTATTGTCTGTGTACAATACTCTAACGAATTATTCGATTAAAATGCTTTTACTTAACAGTGGTCATAAAATTTTACAACTGTTTGTTATCAATTAAAGATCTTGTGTTTCTATACAACCAATTTCATTTTAATCAATTCAATGCATCCTAACGAATGGGTTTGCAGGTTAGCGCTATAACTCAAATGTAGCTTAAACTTTTACCGTAATGTAAGGTTCGTTGAACATGTATTAAGCTAAAGTTAAAATATTACAGCAATTTTTTTGTGAGTGACTTTTTCACCTAAATGATTTTTTATAGATTGAGGATGACTTAAGGCTTAAATTATAAAAGTTATTAGCTTGCAATAAGAACGTAGTTTCCTTATGTCCAATCTTAGATAGGTGTTTAGTTTTAATGTCTTCGTTTGTCAAAGAAGGTAAATTATTGATTCAAACCCGTTAATGTTTTGGTTGGATGTTATCTAGAGACATCTTTAGATGTAAACAAAGTCGGTGCTCTACTTTGCCATTGAAACACGTTATTGACAAAGCAATGATAAGATATCACAACGGCTTCCAGCTTCCATATACTGCTGCGAACAGCTGTTAAAACGTTCACCTTGTAAGTGTGTTTTGGAACTAAAAATATATTTGTAGGTGTAATTTTTAATCAGTGTTCTCATTTCATTCAGTGCTTTGTATTAGTTGAGGTGTAATTATTTGTTTTCTTCATCTGTTTTTCTACCGATAAAACTTACAAAACAATTTTGAAAAAAAGTTAAATGATGCTTTAACTTTTAACCAAGGCCCTACCTATAATCTGTGCCAATACTAAAGAATAACCTAGTGTTTTGGTTGTTTACAAAGTAAAACGTTGACGTTTTTAAATACCATCACTAATCTCAATTTAATGTGTTATGCTTTTACTAAAGAAATAGTTCGTGGAAAAAGTATTAAGTTAATGGTTTTCGAGATTGTAGAAATTTTTTTGGTTAGGCTATATGTAGTATTCCTCATTATATTTTGTAAATATGCCTCTACATAATACATTTACGATTGGTTTTGTGTAATATCGTGTGACAGCAACTGTTATTTATTTTAATTTAATAATTTATTCATCTAAATGATTTGAGCTTCCATCCTGACTTTTAAGAGTCTCTGTATTAGAGGTTTAACATATATAGGTCTCAGTGTTTGGTATAACACTGTGCAGTTGAATATTTAACTGATTAGCCGGAAAACTAAATTTTATCATAAAATAAATCAAAGTAACGCCCTGTAAAGTATGCTTAGACCGTTTTCAGGTTTTGTTTCCGTTGTATTTAGGGAAATTGTAAATACCGAAACGGCATGAAATCTTGCCTTACTCTGTATATAAAAAAGTGTTTAAATGCTCTAAACGAAGAAATAAAATATATGTAAGGTAAAATTTACCATTGTTTTATAATGTTTGCTTTAACCAATTTAGTTTTCAAACTCATTCACAATTATAACACTTATAAATAAGACAACTATTAATTACGATTTAAACATGCAAATGCATACACTGTTAATTAATTATACATTCCATTTTTCAAGTCACATTTTCTGTAACAAATTTAAACTTATTTTATTTAAACTCCAACTAATTTAAACCTCAAACAAAGCTACAACCATTCAAAGGCATAGATTATTAATCAATCAGAATTTTCGTACTGAATATTCGTTTTAAATAACCATAAAGCAATTAAATACTCACGTGCATGTTCCGGGGCTCCAGCGACGACGGCAGCCACGGCCAGTAGTAGCGCGGCGGTGGCGATCATGACGGCTGTAGTCAACTGACTAGCGGCATGGCGGGACTGCAACAATACACAGCTGTTGGCGTGAAATCAGCTGATGAGAGCCCACCACACGTCTCAAGACTGGTGTTGGCCTCAAGGCCAACCGGTGCCCAAGGAAATTGGCACGGATAACATTTGGGGAAGAGTACTTCCCAGGTTGTAAATTTAAATTTGATTGGCTCGGCGTCATTACCAATTCGTGTGTGCGCGAGTGTGTATTGCAGCGTGCGAGTTCAGACTTAGCAGTTATAAAGAAATATTTGTGTTATTATGTCTACAAAAATAAGTTTAAAAGGTGGCACCTAAATGTTTGCTAATTTTGGTTCAACTAGTTTTCAAAAGAATTAATTTAATAATTTGCATATCTTTTTCAATTATGACATAATGTATCTTTTAAGATGTAACTGTTTTTCAATCAAAAATTGTTTTTCTTTATTCAAGTCATGTGATATTCTTAAGGTAGTAATACATTTTTCGGTCTTGTTTTGTTTTTATTTAAAAAATAAAAATTTCTACGGAGTTTTTTTTATTGTTTGGATTTAATTGTCGAAATAGTAAATATTTTACAACATTCACTTTCAGCTGCAAAAGTTCAATTTTGTAATTAAACCAATAGTAATAGTAACAAATATAGCGTATTTGCCATTACAAAAAATACATAGTACTTACCAAAGTACTATGTGGTACTTCTTTGTGGTACTTATGATTTTGTAAAAACAAAACCATCAAAATCAGACCAAAAATCATCATCATATTTATGATATGTTCTTATAAATTTAAGGTTAAAAATGCCTCCAATGAGAATATTTTATCCTCGCCTGATAAACCTAGCCCCACAGCTAGAGTAAACTCTAAATTATCGACACACGTCAATATCAAAAACTGAATTGCGATGATGACTTGCTAAATTTGAAGTCGGGCCCAGGACAGAAGATACATGTAATTAAATTAACTAGACAGTTTAATATGAACGATTTTCTATTCCCAACCCCTTTTATTACTTTAACACTCCTCAACACCAATGTTAGTTTTTTACCAATCATATAATTATCTCTAAATATGTAACTTCTGCAAACTATAGTCCTCCTTTCTCAAAAATAGTAAAACCCCCATCCTATAAGACCAAAAACAATTTGTTTTAGAAAAAAACAAATAATATAGGCTTAAGGGGGATAGAAATTAATCTGTATTGGACAACTCAGTCTATAAAGCCACATGAAGCTTTTTTGGGGGGTTGTCCACCCAAAGTTTTAAAAAAGCTCCTTTAATAGGTCTATTAGATCTCCTCGATATATGGTTTCCTAAAAAATCTTAAAATATCTTTAGGTGGGATACAATAACCCGAATTCTTCTTCAGGACGAAACCATGGCAAAGGTTAACGTAGCGTAACACGGATTTACTATCTTTAATACCACGAGTGGAAGAGCTGGTGAGATGGTATTTTGGTTCCTGAGGTACCGAGTTCAAATCCTACCGGTCAAAGATGAATTTCATTAAAGTAATAATGCCTAGGCTTAACCTAGTAATGTAAAACTGTTTCGGACGAGAATCAAGCACCTTAGGAAGTGAAGGTGGTAAAAAAACTACATCGTCAATAAAAGTGATCATGGGAATCTTCTCTAGGCTCCCTTGACAAATCCACTGGACCTCCACATTCAACACGTGGTTTGTAGTTCAGTCACGTTTGTTTGGAATAAAACAAAAACAAACACAAAGCGGCGAGAAGGAAGCGGACACTGACTAATTATAACTTTGTTTCACTAATCTACACTTGTTTTACAAATTCAGCACGAATTCTCTCTTTGACGCCGCTGTTGTATTGTGCTAAATGAGAAATTTGGTTAAAAATTATACAATAGACTGTAAATATTAGGTGTATGGCATTAAAAATTAATTTTTTGCATATTTATTTCTTCAATTGTAGCGTGTTAAAAATTTAAAAATGATTTTATTTTTCTAATTTTAAATTATTATATGGATTTGAGCAAACTACAGAATCTTTCAAGGCATAACTTGGATAAAGTGGTTAATTGGTTTGCATAAAGAGATAAAAAGCGAAAATTGGAATAACTCTTATATTTATTAAAGCTAAACGAAAAAATGCAACTCCTGTAAATTTAAGTGCTGGCGGGTCACTATGGCTGGAAGTCAAAAAAAGAATCGCGTAGTGAACGTTTATACTTTGCAAACAATATCAAGTGGGATAGCTTGTCTCAGTAGACAACATTTAACTACGATAATTTATATTTTAAACCTAAGTATGACCTTGCAACGATAGGACCGATGTTCTCGCAAAGCTTTCTGTTTTGTTTTTGTTGTGTAATTTTAGAAACTTATTTGATTGACACAGACTATTTGAACACGGAAATGCTGTAGTGAAATGCTAAGAATGTATTAGTTATAAATGTAAATTTACGGAGCCAAAGTCAATTAGGTAGTTATTACAAACTCTAATGTTCTTCGATTCTCATCTCTAAGAAAATATTTAGTATAGTCAATGTTTTTAGTATTACTATGCTAAAAAAACGATTATGATAATGATGATGATGATGGTCATGATGATAATATGATTAAATTCTTGCTCTTAACAATTTTGAGCGTAATCCATGCGTAAAGATTTGAACTGCATTGTAATTAGTTTTGAGTTGTGTCCCTAAGAAAATATTGAGAGCTCAACATTTATTAGTTTTGGCACTCCTCGCTATTAGTTGAAATTTTATTGAACCTGATATTTAAGACAACATTAAGTGTGGTATGTATTTATAATTTATCGGTATTTATTCAGATTTTATATATTTTCCCTTAATTAATTAAATTAATTTAGGGTAAATACTCATGTAAATGTCTATACAGCATTAGCCACGATAAAATAACATTAACAGTTTTTTTTTTTTTTTTTACCCCAAAAAATAATGCGTATAACAATTTTTACAATATAATTCTACAAAAAATATTTACAGCTACGAAACCACCTTCCAACTCATAAACGTAAATAACGGCTAGTTTCATTTACCGAGATTAAAAAACTCGCATACTCGTAGTGTAAATGCAGTGTTATCTGTTTGCGTTGGAATTCAAATTAAACAGCGAAGTAGTCGCAATGAGCAGTAGCTATGTGAGCGCACGCTTCTCTCTTGTTTATTATGGAACACAATTCTGTCTGTCAATTTAGGTTTTGACTTTGGTGTCAAAACCCCCACCTTGACGTAGGAATTTGGAGATAAGTAGCTAGTTTTGGAAGTGTTAATTTTTTTTACAAAATTTAGTCTGGACGGGTTTTGCAAAAATATGACATCCCAGAACCAGTTTACACATTATATGATAGGCCTTGAGAGTTAAGGAATCATTATATCGCTAAAAGCCTTTGGTGGTTGACGGGATTAGATCCCGGGACTCTAGGATCAAAGCCCCTCGCTCTACTACTTGACCAGTATTGTACCATGGTTGTATAATATTGTAGTTACCCTTATGTAAAAAGCCAATTTTGGTCGACACAGACATATGCTTCAGTTAAATATACTCAAATGAACATGACTTTCGTTTTTTACTACTCCAACACATTTTACCTGGTTTAAGTGTGGGTATTCCGTTGGTATAAGGTCGTATAAGTCAGATTGCCAAGCCAGTAGTTACGGCGAATGCTGATGAAATAGTTATTACTTTTAATGCTTTTCAATGAAATGGCGACCCTACAAAGTAGGTATTTTAAGCCAAGTTTGAATGGAGATGACTGTAGGATGAGTGGGCGCGATCGTGTAGTCTTGTTAGTGACTAAGACCGACTTATTCCTTATACACAGCTGTTAATTAATAGCACATACAGCTAATGGCAACTAAGAGACCTACTATACAGTTTATAGTGGAATCCGAACCACATTTTGCCTTGGTATATATGAATCGGTCTAATTTTCAGGATAGTACTGCTGATAGTCGTAGTACTCACTCGTGCGGACGTTAATCCACACCAGGGAGTATCGCATCTATAGTATTGCGGGCGATCACGAACTATCATTGACCAGCTTTTTTGTGAAGCTGCTAAAATGCTAATATTGTTTATTTTAGTAATGTAATGGTCCCTAAGCTTTTTGTTCTGTAAACATTCGGCTTTTAAAATTTTGATACAGTTTAATACAAAACCTCTATTTAACTAAAAATAACAATTTAAAAATCAATTTCTCATCATTTTATTGTTTAATTACAGCTTTATTAGATTTACAAACGTAATCACAATATTTCAGGGAAAAAAGAAATTGAAATAGCTAATGTTGAATTCCACTCAAACTGAATCCAGAACTAGTGTTGTGTTGCATTATGTATAAAAATAATAAACAGATTTTTTATGTTACAGTAATAAGGGCTCTATCACTAACCTTTTTTTGGTACATGAATATCAAGCTCTGTCTTTAATACAAGAAAGTTTTAGTTTTTTCCGTCATGAAATTCCTTTATGTGAAGAGATCATTAAATGGTCAAGTGCAGCAGATTATTTTACTATAGATTTACAAGAGTGGCGATTAAGATAACGACGTAACAAGTTAATTTGTGATGTAGAATCTAATTGGTGATTTAGTATTCACTTAAAACCCAGATTTCGGCTCCTGAGCTACACTTAACTAAAAATAGGCTTTACCTTCGTCAGTGCAGCTCAAATGGTGTTACTACGTTGGTTTCGGCTGTTTCAATTCATTACAATGCCATTGAATCATCGTCTCCTCCTTCTTCCTGATCCTGGCATCATCGAATGAACTTTGAGCTGTATTGACGAAGGTAAAACCTATTTTTAGTTCGTATTCACATAACCAGGCGTATGAATGAACAAACTCTATAAGTATGTAAACGTGCGGGGTTCTTATACAAGGGCAGGTTTATATATATATGTATATCAAAACGTATCTTTCAGGTTTAAGTAAAACATAAGCAATTTTCTTTTTTATTCTAGTTACAGTTCACAGCACACCATTTTTCCTATACTATACATTTATCACGTACATTTAATTTATGATGGTAGAGCATCAAAAATCGTATAGTAACCAAAATACACCTCCTGTCTAGTATTTCATGAGTTTATAATTTATTAGTGCTCAATAACTCATAACCATACCTCATTTATTCGTAAGCCTAATTTGTCTGATTAGCCATTAAAATTGTACAATTACAATAGCATTATTTAATTGCTTGTAAGGCGAATCGGCATTTATATCTTGGCAAGATAGTTCCATACTATGAACTTGATATTATTGAAAGGTTTATTTTCCATTAAAATCCTTGTGTATCCTAAAAAGATTACATAATTCATTTTAGTGAAGTCAATAATAGTTTGATAATACGTCGAACACCTTAACTGTTTTTTTTATATTAGTAAAGTTAGAATTAAAATAATCTAAAAGTATATTTATGATTTTCTCAGATACTAATACTATTTACTAGCATTCCTACCTGGCAAGACGATACTAAGGCTAACTGTATGGTAGGAATCCACAAGACATCACTGCCCAAAATCAGGGCCAGCGCGCTTTTTAAACTCTCATTGTTTAACTTTGTCAAGTGACTTTGATAAGTCACTGCAAGTAACCAAATGGGTTTGTTAAACATAAATATACTACAACATCAATGTTGGTCTAGATAAGATGCCTGCGTAGGTTCCATCCTGTCGGTGGTCTAAAGTCAAAAACCTTATCTTGCATCATGTTTGTAGCTTTGTCATTAAGAAAATATGTGTTGTTAAACTTAATTGTAGATTGTATTGTTTGAAAAAATAGTTCCTTCTTATATACATTTTTCTTTCATCCGATTATAGGCCTATACGATATGCATTTCAAATCCGATATGCATCAAATTTTAGAGATGGACCTTATATAAAGATGGCCAATCACCATATTATCACATAACACATCATCTTACCCATCGAGGATTTGCAGAAACTCCAGCCTTTTGTACAGTACAGCACTCAAATATAGATAAGCCACACCCCGATAATATAGTATGTAAATTTATCTATAATCTTTTTACTTTTTAAATTTTCATTACATGAATGTTTATGTCATAATTAGTTTTACCTTTTACTTTTTCCCTTCCACAAGATACAAAGGTGAATAAAATCAAAAATCTTATGATGCATTAAGAAAATGATATCATGGGAAAAACCTTTTCCGCACTTCTCAAATATGTTTACTGATACTTAAAAGTTTGTCTTTCTTGGAAGATATACTGGCCTTCATTCAAAAACATTAGGCTAATTATGTCACATTATGTCCTGTTTTAACTGTTTGGAAAACCTATATACAATGATTTATTGTTCAGCAATTTTTGTCCCATTCTTTTAGCAAATTTCCCATATAGTTAATAATCTATTATCGTAGGGCTAATGGTAAGACCTGGACCTGGAACCGATTTACTTTTTCGATTTGATGTTCCCAGAGGTTAAAAACACCATCCGTTCTAATTCGCCATTATGTGTCCGATTAGCACGATGACTCAAGAAAGAATTTCCAGATTTTAATGAAATTTGATACTCACCTGTAAATTTACATTTATTCGAACGAGTTCACGAACGAGCATGATCGGACCATGAAAACGGGTATTTATGGGTTAAAAATTGCACTTTGTTTGACCTTCAAAACATTAAGATTTCCAATTTATTCCTAAACCATTTTAATTGAAAAAAAAATTAATATAAAATTCCTATGTCATTCTTATAGAGAATAAGTAAAATGTTGTGGTTTGCTTATTTATGGATATATTTTGAACAAACTTGGCAAATTTATTTATTTTACACTATGCTATTGATGTTTTACTAAAAAGCAAACGTTATTACTCTCTCGGTTGCAGCAAACCTAGGTACCCATTAAACCTAATGTTATTTAAGTAGATTTCACTGAAAAATCAAATCAGGCAAATGGAAATGCCCTTAGTCTGCAGGTTCGCTGCAGTAGGGCTATTTTTTGTACACGATATTCAAATATAAATATATGATAAGCTCTTGTTTATGAAAAGCATAAACCGTTTACCATGTATAGCTTGTTAATACCACGAACGATACCCCGAATCAGTGAGCCCTAACCATGTCAATGAACCCTACAATGACTTGCCAAAAGTATAACGTAACAGTGGCAAGTATATTAATTATAACTTATCAGCGACTACCTTAAATCACAAACAACTTGTGATTTATATTAATATTTCTTATCAGTGTAGCACACTGATTTAAAATAATGTACATGTATATTTTATGGTAAATTACACCAACGTTCGTTTTAAAATTGTTTGTGACATATTTTTTAAGTAATGTAGACCTACATTCAACTAACACATTGTTTATTAACATTGTTATTTAACACGTTGTGTATTTTGTTATTCGTTTACTATATTTTAGAAATATAAATTTAATTTAGTTTTATTATGTATTAAACGTTCTATTTAAAAGTAATAATGTCTTGTTCAGATGTTCCTAGTTCGTTCAGTCGTTTAACATCTCACGAAAATTAAGTCTAGTGTAATTTACTTTTTTATGTATGTTATACTGATTGGGTTGGTTAACTTTTTTCTTACATTTAAATTTGAAATGGTTTACTGCCTTACCATTCATAAAACCTTTAAAAACTATAAAGAAAGCTATATATGATGATTAATTATAAGTATGCAGCCTTTCCAATTGCTTTCATATTAGCGTTAATTGTTCAAGAAAAAAACATACGCTTTTATAAGCTTTGAAATGTATTGTAAGATATATAAGATAAATTGCAAACTTATTGTATTACTTTTGAAATTTAAGACAAAAACTATGCAATAATCGTAATGGTTGTTCTGAAAAATTTAACACTGATTATTTTTTTTTTTATTAAATGAAAATGTATGCTAAAAGGAAAAGAAATACATTAAACCTTTCCGAGGCAATGGAAATATACGAAGACATAACAATATTAACTGTCTTCCGATCAAATTAATTTTGCTCTTATCAACCTCCTACTGATAAATTTTTTGCAGTTAAGACATTTTATTTAGGTCAGCTTAGTTCAACAAACGTGTTTCAAATATTTTTGTAATAGTACATATTCAAAGAAAATAATGACAAAAAAATAAAACACCACATGTCATTGATTTTGGAAAAAAACTAGAATGGTAAATCTATTGAGAATTAATTGATGCACTATAATTTAACGTAATGATAAAAAATAACGTCTTTGAATAATTTTAGAATTGGAATCAACAGTATTAAAAATTATAAAAACTGAAGAATAAAATGGGAAAGCTGGTAAATAAAAATTCTCCTAAAACCAAAACACTTTTAAAATAAGAGAAAATAGGTTCCAACCTGTAGAAGAGCAGGCTGTGCCATACTGCTAAGCCTGGGCCCAACAGACGAAAGTTTGAGCCCAGTCAAAGCCTTTTATACCAACAGTCACAAGATAGCACCACGTGAACCACGTGACCTCCGATCACTCAGTTAATTAGGCTACAAAGCTGGCTTAAAAATTAGGGATTTGTTTACTACAATTTTAAATGAGTTTAGATAAGATTGGAAGAGCTTAGTCTAAAGATAGTGATGTTATTTCATTCATTGTTTTTATGGAAGCTAATCTACTTTAGGGCTTGCAACTATGTTGTTGGAATTTAAGATTGTGAAAGATCTTTTTGAGTTATTATTCAATTTCTTTTCAAATTTTCACTGTACGGGCAAAAAAAAAACTTTTTATAATTACTTGAAACACTATTTTTCCATTCGATGTTTGACTTTGTGCATATTTTGTAGATGGTGTATTTTACAAATAGAGGTGTTCAAAAGCCTAAAGAAGCAGAGAAACGAGTTGTGTGTGTGTGATGCAATGAATGTATCCCATAAGTATTCGTTGATATTCAAGTCCACAACATGTATTTATAATTCAAAAAGGTTTGATCAGCAAAGTAACTAGTGGTTAAGGTCTCGGACTTTGGTTTGTGTGCCGTGGGTTCACTCCCCTGTATATCCAAACAAGTTTTTTAAGGGTTTTGGAGCGCTTTCCTTTAAGCGCGTTTAGTGTTCTAAGAAAACTTCGGTGTTGAACAAAATGTTAACACTTTTATGCTTTTGCTGATGATTACCTCCTTCTGGTGTCTCAAAAGTACATAATGTGAACGACAGCCTTCTGAAAACTCTAAAAGTACACAATGCCAATGATTATGACACATTTTTACTTTTTTCTACTGGTATTTCAATCGCTAACAAATATACAAGCTACAACTCACTGAATTGACGTATCACCTATTCAAGTTGACAAGTAGGAATGGATAATCATCACAATATAAATATTTAATACTTTTTTACTATTTATAAAATATCCTTTTTGCATTCTGTTTGCACTCAGAAAACATAACTAAAGGAAAAAATCTGTAAACTTTGTTTTTCATTTTTCGAATCTATTGGTCCAACAAGTTTTGTAAACTTGGTGAGGCCATGCTTGTAATATCTTAAATAAATATATTTGAATTTGAAACCCTACCCAGTAAGGATAACCTTTTCTATGCCAGCCCTCAGGTTAGTAACTAAACATAATAACTAAATGTGTCAGCTTCCATGCTAAAGAAGCTACAGAAATCATTCCGAATCACTGTAATGATTATGTAAAAACTTCATATAACGTAGTATGTGTTATAAAACAACTGGTAAATAATAACCAAAAGTTTATCTGCACAAACTAAGAAAGTAAAAAATAGTTAAAATGACAATACAGTAGCTCATGTTCATTGTATGTACCTACAATGTAACATTACGGGGGCCTGATATCACAATGCAGAACGTTTACTGCTGCATGTAAACCTGATAACTGGTTGATGCTGTGCCATTATGCTAGAATTTTTAAGCCACTAAACACAAAGATTGCACGTTTAATTTCATGCAACCTTTCAGATGGTCATATAATCTAATAAAAGGTTTTAGTTTCTCTGTGGACTTAAATATATTTTGATTCCACTAAGCATATACAGTGTGTAAATTAAGTATGGAAACAAATCTGTATTTTTAAAACCGAAATAGATAGAAATATTCTATTTGTGGCAATAATAGTTAACAAAGATTCCGCAATTTTTCACATGAAAAATATTTTTTTACCCCCCTAACAGGGTAGGTGGTAGGGGGTGACTTATTTTTTTCAAATAGCAACCCCTATTGAGTGACCCCTCATTTTGAAGGGTTTGTCAAAAGAAACACAATGACGCAAATCCGAGGTGAATATCTCACTCCTAGCTAACATGGCGGATATTCCAAAATGGGCTTTTTTTTACAAAAATTAAATTTTTCATTACCCACCATTTAGGCTAGGGGTGAAATATCTACCTCGGGTTTGCGTCATTCTTTTTCTTTTAACAAACCCTTCAAAATGAGGGGTCACTCAATAGGGGTTGTTGTTGAAAAAAATAAGTCACTCCCACCCCCTACCCTGTTAAAGGGGTTGAAAAAATATTGTTAATTAAAAAAATTGCGGAACCTATGTCAACAATCAATTCCACAAACAGAATATTTCTATCTATTTCGGTTTTAAAAATACAGATTTCTTTCCATTATTTGTGAAATTGGTGCTTTTCACGTACAATAAATCAAATTTTGGAATATCCGCCATTTGGGCTAGGAGTGAGATATTCACCTCGGATTTGCGTCATTGTGTTTCTTTTGACAAACCCTTCAAAATGAGGGGTCACTCAATAGGGGTTGCTATTTGAAAAAAATAAGTCACCCCCTACCACCTACCCTGTTAGGGGGGTAAAAAAATATTTTTCATGTGAAAAATTGCGGAATCTTTGTTAACTATTATTGCCACAAATAGAATATTTCTATCTATTTCGGTTTTAAAAATACAGATTTGTTTCCATACTTAATTTACACACAATGTATTTGTACTAAATAGTGTAATCTTTGGATTATAGGTATATTGTATTAATTTTGTTTATTTAAACTTATGTTTTAATTTTATAGTTTGTTTATTGGTATTATGCGTTAGATTCATTTTAAATTTGAAATAAAACACGACGTCAAATGCTTAAAAATGTGTGTACCCCTGCATTGTACCATGTGAAATTTTGGCATATAAATAAACTATGTTGAACTGTTATCAATTGCAGTCAAAATTCCTAACTATCAGAACTTTAAGAGATTAATTCTCTCTCTTGTTCAATGATTGTTGAATTCTATACCTATTAGGTATACATATTATACACTATATAAGGGTAAATCGTAATACACCCACTGTGAAAAAATTAATTATAATTTACACAAAAACTTACTGTAACCCTTGGTCAAATTAGAAAAAATTACCTGCTTCTCCCTTTTTTTAAAGGAATTGACAATTATTTCACTTCCTATATTTTTTGGCCAATTAAATTATTTGTATATATGATTTTAAAACGTATACATTTTTATGTTCGTTACTCATTCCCAATAAACTACGCACATCTTAAAAATGTTATTAAATGTTTCAGGAAATAGAAAGCTAAATCAGTTTAATGGTCATCATCTAATAAAATGAGCACGAACAATAGTTATGTTCATGACAAATGCTAAGGTAATAATATTCTTAAAGTGAAATTTCAATTGTCTATGTTAATAGGAAACTCTCAACCAATGTTTAAATTTACTGATGATGTGGAATTGACCAAATGTTGACCCTTTTACATTATCAGCCTCCGTGGCGCAATGGCTAGCGCGTTCGGCTGTTAACCGAAAGGTTGGTGGTTCGAGCCCACCCGGGGGCGAATATTTTGTACATATTAGTCTAAAAATTACATAATTAGATGTATAAATTATGTAAATTGTAAACAGTATGGATTTTCTGAGTTATCGTATAAACTATTAAAATTTATTTTGATTTAATTTTGAATATACTTATTTAACAATGTACGGGACATTTTAGATTGGATCAAATTATGAAGATAAGTACAAGAGTATGAATTAGTTTCTTTTAATTTTAATTTTAAAAACTGTTCATCATATACACGGTTACGTGGTGTAAACAAAAATAAAACTAACATGATGTAACATTCTTTACATACTTTCCTTAAAATATACTAAAGCTAATCAATCTAAATGATTTTGATAAAAAGATGTAAGATAGAATTCAGTTATGTATTAGCTACAAAATAAACTCTCCCTAAGACGCAGTGAGTACATTACGGTGACATGAGAGTTATTATTTCACAGCCGAAGCAGACGCTCGACAATTTCCCGCCAGACTGACTCGATTTGGCGGCAAACATTCTTCTTCTCAATTTGTCTTCTTAATGTTACAACAACAATTTAACACTAAAATATCACTACAACGCGCTGCTTTTACTTAGCATCGAGGGTTTTATTTTACTCTTTTCCTTCTAAAGAGTTTTACCTTGGTGAGTAATTATAGTACAATTATTTAAGGTAAATGTTTTTAAAAAAAGTTATTGTTCTAAAGCTATTATTCTAAATTTACTACAGTAAACCAATTATTTTCCCCAACTTTTGTTATGAGTCGGTATATAACCCACTATATGCAATATAGGCACGGTTGGTTATAAGGCGAAGAAAATCTATATTCATGCATTGGAATGTATTAAATTTTATTTAAACTAAATTGAAGTTACGTATTAAATTGAAATTTGATGGTGCGTAATTTGATTGTGATGCATTTTCAGTCATTTTAATGTTCCTCCATAATATATTATTATGATTATTAATGTATATGAATCAATACACCCACGTACATCGATCACTATTAAAGATACTTCTATCAATTCAGTTAAGATTTGAGTTATAATCCTATTTTTGGGTAGTAGAATGAAATTATCTTATCCAGAAAGGTACAATTAAAAAGTTAAACCCTTTTAAAGAAAACCATAATTCGTCACAAATTGAAGGCATACGAGATGCCTTCTTATATGCATAAAATAAGTCGATATAATTAAGTAACAACTGTTATTATTGTTTTCTTAGAGGAGATTTCTGCAAAGTAGACGAAAAATGGCACGCCTCTTAAATGAGAAGATTTTCCCATGGATTGGGTAAATTCTTCCAATTGAAGTCCTTCTGTATCAAAGATCCTTTTTTAGAGGTCCCTGTCTATTTAACATACTACAATTTATAGTACTCTCTGTGCTGCATACCTTCCTCCATTTTAATTCCTTCTTTGATTGAAAACTTTCTCAGTATTTGAAGAAACTCATTCACAACAAACTACCATAAGTTAATGATAGGGACTATATTTTTTTTATATGTTTACAAACGGAAAGCCCTTCTGTTATAATGTAGAGATGAGTGGTAATTATTACTCCAGTGACTGCCCTCAAGGCAGACACCTTGTAATTTGCCGCCAGACTGCCTCGATTTGGAGGGTAAAGCACTCTTCGC